GCCTGGGTGCAGCACACTACATGAGTGTCCATTGACTATTACCACTACCAATATATATATTTTTTAAAATGAACATCAAATGTTTCCAAAATGTCCTCTTGTGATATTTTAGCTGCTTAGTTGCACGACTCCATTAAAAAAATCGTTTTGCCCATTTTGTTGATAAGCTGTTCCCCGATTACTGGCAATTGTAAAAAAAAAAAAAAAAAAAAGCCTTCCCCCTCCCTCTTTTAATTTAAAGATTTCCGTGAAGAAATCCTTAGACCCTGTTAAACGACGCTGATGGACCGGGTTCAGTTCCAGGTGGTGTACTATATAGTACAGTTTAAACTTTTTTTTTTATTCCAAGTTAAATTGTTGGCTGATTACTGGCTGCTGACATTTGGATTGAGATAAAATATAGCTTTTCTCCATTCGGATGTAAACCTGAAAGGGACACATCATGTTCACAATGAGCTATAATAGTGGATTATTTTTATGCATTGGGCTATATGAGAAACAAACCGAAAGTAATGTTCTGATCGGGCTTTGAACCGCTTGGGTGCAACATTACAGTGCTCATTACCACTACAAGGACAGTAGAAGTTTTTTTTTAAAAAGAAACGAATGTCAAAATGTTTCTAAAATGTCCACTTGTGATACTTTAGCTGCTTAGTTTCACAATTCCATATTAATATATCAAGTGATGTTAAATCACTACAACATTTATCTTTTTACAATAACAGCATGTAGTGTTCTTACCACATATTCTTAGAAAAGTATAAAACGTTATAACTTTTTATGAAATACAGAATATAAGCCTAATAATGTGAGAACAAGCACGTTAAAACCAGAACCTACTGTAAGTTACCAAGTTAAAGACTGATGCATAAAATATTTATGCATAATTAAATTATTTATGATGGAGGTGGAAGGTTGTGTACTTTTGTCCAATTGAACAATCTTGCTTTTATAAAATGTACTGACTTTTTAATGTTTAATGGTTAACATGCTGTAATACACAGTTTAAAATGATTAAAAGTCTAAAAAGTATACAACTTAAATTCTTAATTGGAAAAAGATTGTCCCTCAGCAGTGACTTTGATTGGAAACCGGACATTTTCTGGCGACAGCTCAAATGCTGTACATGAGACGTTAAGCTTTATTAGCTCCACCTTGCATTTTTACAAGGTACTTCAGGATACTATTGTCCTATTTAGAAAAACATGCAGTATGTTGAATGGCTAGATCTGTATGTAGCTAAAATTCTCCAGTAATTAGAGTGATACACTGAGGGCTAGATTAACTTCTGTCTTCATTCCATTCATTTTATCAGAAACCAAAACTTAACATAAAAGGTTTGCCACTTATTAATCTGGATGTAAGAATTTGCCAACTTTAAAGAATCCAACTTTTAAGTTTAGAACTAGATTGGGATGTAGGAGATGAAAAACTAATAGTTGATACATTTGAACTTTTTAAAGTCCTCACTTTTTCAATTGGGAAGGTCATTAATTTAGAGCAACATCTACTGCACTATTAAGCAGGTCTTTGTCAAATGCAAAGAATGTAAATGGGTCATTTACTGCAGCTAAGCATTAACACCAGCTGTTCTTGTGTCCTTGAACAGATAATAGAAATTTAAAAACAGTATTTTTTAGACAGAATCAGTTTCTGTTGATTGATAATTTGACAGAGTAAGTCTAGCTATAGCCCACATTATTAATGCAAAACAGCTTTGTGCAGTACTTTATTGTCCATGTTACCAATTCAGTCTACTTTGTGACACTTTTCTTTGTTGATCATTCAGTAATAGACACCTTTTCATTCATCGTCTATGTTTGATGTGACTTTCTGCAACACTTTACAACTTGTTTTTAGCACAGAACAGTCTTTTTAGGCATGGTGGTTACATTTTAACTGCTTTAAAATTGTTCCTGAATATGCTTGCTTGCAATGGCAGAAAGAGAAAACATCTATTTTTTTGAAAAACAAAAATATGTTGTGTATACTCTGAAACCACTAAATGCTGTGGACTATGAAAGCCACATGTGCATTTCACAATATAGAACTTTAAATAAATGCCAAGAAAACAAGAGTTAGTGCTACACGCAAGCAGACTTGAGCCAGCCACACTTCAACCTACACTATAAATAAAAATAGACAGCTTGTGGAGCTTGTTCCTTGTTTAAAACATCTGGGTAGATACATTAATAACAAATTAAACTTCTCAGACAACACAAAGTATGGTTTTAAAAAAGCTGTGCTGAGATTATTTCTCTCAAGAAGGTTGAGGAGCTTTGATGTAAGCAAACACATCCTAGAGCTGGCTTACACAAGTCTGGGGGAGAATGTGCTCTCTTTTCACATCTCTACTTGGTATGGGAATCTTGGTGTCAGGGATAGAGACAAGCTCTCAAGGATTATAAACATAGGCAGCAAAATTATTGTTCAGAAACGGAACCAGCTGAACCAAATCTGTACTAGGAGTGTTTACAGGAAAGCAGTGTTAATAGTAAATGACGCCTCACATCCACTACACTCCCAATTTGAAAAATATACATCTGGATGATGTTGCAGAGCACCAATGGTTACAAAAAACATTTTTAAGAAGTCGTTCATTCTGAGTGCCACTACTCTTCTAAACTCTGATGTGTGAGCCCCTTTAGAGCATTGCATTGACAGCGTATAGATGCATGCAGTTTATGCTTACATATTTGTACTGTATTGTTTTACTAATTATAATGCATTAGTTGTATAAATCTGTAAAAGCTACAGAATGTTTTGTTTAGTTTCTGTTTAATGTTTTTATTATTGTTGAAGTGAGGCCAAAGAAACTTTTTCACTGTTTGTGGACAATAAATTAGATTCTGATTCTAGTCAAGGGTCATTAAATTAGCCTTTCCTACCCATGAAGCCACAGCAATCTACATGAGTATTTTTGTTTACTGTCCAAAATGGCCTGCTTTTTCTTTTTACTTTTCCTTGGCTAAAGTACAGTATTAGCATTATTGGCTAATATATTTCAGATAAGGGCTCTACAGACTTGAGGTCATGGGTTTGAAGCTATTATAGACCTTCATAGAGTATTGTTGCTCTGTTCCTTTACAGAGATAATCTTAATGAACAAGTTGATCTTCAGGGATGCTCGGTGTTCCAGTAAAACAATCCCAAAGAGGCTTATACATTTTTAATATTTTAAAATAGCAGCTAATTGGCAGCCCACTGTCACAGATTCATGATTAAAAGACATCATTAGTAATTTTCCTTTTATATAGAAGGATCCACTTCATACAGTTAAACCTCCTTAATGGTCCTTTAAGTGGAGGGAGCAAAAAGTGTGACACAAAGGGGGTTTTACTTTATCAAAAAGTTAACCACTAACTTCAAGGCTAAAAACCTATCTTGAAAATGTGGATTTGTCAACCAAGATTTCTTGAAACTTGTTAGACCCAGAAATGTTTGTCCATACTGTAACAGCAATTTATTCCTTTCCATTTTCCTGCATGGAAAATTACATCTCATAAGCAAAGTGTCTTGTCCGGAAGAGCTTTGTACAGAAGGTCTGTCTCATCCAGTATTATACGTGTTGTCTGCATAGTACCCATCTAGTAGTAAAGGCAATCTTGTATAAAATTCAGAGACATCATCCTCAAAAACAGATGCAGACTCACCAGCTGCTACTTTGATCTTACTGCTGTCTCTCTTTTTAAAGTGTTCCAAAGAAACACTTTAACAAGAGAAGTCTGAGAGTTCTTGTTCTTGGCAAAATCATCTGGCTTTTCAGCAAAAAGCAGCCAGCTAATAGATATGTTTTGGCCACTCAAGAATTTAAAGCAGTTCAGTAGTGCTTCTTCTAAATACTGATATTTTCCTGTATGCATTCTTTAAGTAGTGGAGGGAACATAAGAATTGTGATAGGAACATCAAATTGCATATCATTTTGTAGCAATCTTTGAAATCATTGATGGATGCCTGAAGAGATTGTCAGCCATAATTCCACAGCAGCCTTTGTGGCTAATGTTGCATCTGTTTACTTAAAAGCTTTTTACATTTTCATCTGAAATCAGTACAGCACTTTATTGGCATACAAATTAGGCTTAATTTGTTTTAATAATCGTGTTATACCAGAAATTATTGTGTGTCTTCAGGTTTTCAAGACCAAGTAAGGCCAGACACAAAATGTTAGTGAAAGATTAACAGTTTAAATGACTTTAAATGGCACAAGTGTTAGAATCAAGAATGTTTCTGCTGACCTTGGGGCACTTTCAACAGATACAAATAAGCAAGTAGCAGTATTAAGTGGATTTGACTGGAATTTTGAATTATTATTGTCATAATTTGAATTTGATATTATTTGAAATGTTCATCGGAAGTCCTAGGGTCATTTTATGTGGTCAGTGAATTAGATTAAATATCAGTCAAGTTTCATGTCTATATGTTTATGCAGTGATTTTTGTAATGCTAAGGTTCTTTGCTTTTTTATGTTGTTGTATAAGCCAAACTAAATACCTGAAGGTTTATAAGTTGTACATTGTAGCACAATATGTTGACAGTACCTGTATCACAGCTCCATCCTTTCTCTTGATTGGCCTCTTGACTATTATTGGCTGGAGTTTTGTTCATTTAAATCTGAGATATTGTGACATTCAGTGGACAAGGGTACAATTGTATTTTCAAAGTCTAGATATTTTTTGTTCAGGTTATGCCTCTACATACAGTCCATCCTCATTGTGGAAAAAAGTTTTAATTTTAAGGTAGCAGGTCTTGTATTGCCACTTATGGGTTATATCTTTCTGATTACTTCTTCTGGATTCTTTTTTTAATACAAAGACAGACTTTGTTACTCAAGTGACAGAAAAGGTTTTTTTGTTGGGGGTGGGAGTCTAAGCTGCTTTCTTATATGTAGAATACCTGTTTCTCTTACATACTGGTCTATGCTTCTGTATTTGCCAGTGAAGTTGAGGTTCTTTAAACTAGCATGATGGAATTTGACTCAGTTGTGTTTTTAACTTTTTCAGAGCAAAGACATTGGCTTGCAGATGCACGAGGAGCTATTTAAAGTCACAAATGAGCTCTACACGGTGAGTAAATTCATTTTGTCTTTTGATTGCCTATAACTGTTTGGAGTCTCAAGTTGTCTTATACTAAAAGCCTGTGATCACAGTTTGGCTGATGAGTGTCAGTTTGGTTAGGTGGACTTAAGTCTGGTTTCAGTAGGCAGAGAGGGTCTCTTAGAGCAATAAAATAGAAAAGTGTGAGTGTGTGTATGTGTTTGTGTCCCATCCAAGGCGTATAGCAGGATAGACTCCAGTTCTCCCCCGATCCTGAATTAAAGATTAAAGATTAAAGATGGTTGAATGGATAATACAGTACATACAGTATCATAGAGAGTGCAATTTCTTTCTTTATTAAATTACTTTATTTTTTATTAATTTGATTTACATTATCTTTCACAGGATATTTGCACAATGTCCACCTTCACAGGAGTGGTTGTTTGTGTCAAAGCAGGCTGTAGCATTCCAATTGCACAAAAATCATAATGTCCTATACAGCTCTGCATTTTGTTTTGCCATTTTATTTTTTCCTTTTGTTTTCTGCCACATTAAATTGCATAAAAACTTAAATATGAGGAAATGATATTAATAGATCCTGTGCTGTCACTAAGTTTCCTACCAGGCCCATTATACAGAGATGGATGTTTCAACCCATTGAAACCTGTACGTGTGCCAGACATCTGCGCCTGCCTGAGCTGAGACACGAGCGCATACTGAGTGTCAGTGCTTTTAGAGGAGGATAAGTCATTGGCATGGTTCTGTGTAGTGAAGGCTGGAGGGAGCAATGCTGTTTGATTTCTGACACTTCAGAGATTTTTCACAGGCTAATCAGAGACTTGTGGTTCAGCAAATACGCTTCATAAGCATTAAAACTCTGTAGAGATATTCTTTTGACCAGGATGAAGTGAAAGATAAAACCCCTTCCTTTTTTCTTGGAGAAATTTGCATCAAAGGAGATACTGTACTCATTTTGGCGTAGATCCAAGGCCCCTCAGCATTGTATTTAATACAAGAGTACTGAAGGGGGGATTACTTATTCATTGAATAAGCAGAAGTACAGTGTATCTTACTACATCAGTGGCTAGAGTCTGGAAAAGATCAGCATTTTTAACACTAATATTACTTATTGTCTAAGAACTATGATAACATATCTATCCAGTTCTGCCTTGGAAGTACCTATCTTTTAAATGCATGCTCAGTGTGATGAAATAAGCAAAATACAAAAATAGAAACCAATATAGCTACTGTACATTTTTTCTTACATTTCATTCGCCTATAATTATTGCGTTTTTTGTATAGGATTTATAGAGCAATGTTGCATAGATTAAAATTTTACAGTAGAAATACTATTAACTCCCAGATTAGCTGAATTTAAAAGAAAAGCCCAGTGGGCAAGATAGAAAAGAGCCTCATTATCCTTTTCAAAGTCATCCTAGATTGTGGAATATCAATCTCGGCAGCTGCCAAAATGAAACGTTAATTTTTAATGTGTATAGAATTGTATGAATCCCTCATCAAGCTCCATTTCCTGGTCACAATATATCATTCACATTAAACGATTCAATGCCTCTTATCTCATTAGAGTGTTTATGAGTACAGTTACCTGGTAGATACCTCTACTGTAACATGGTTATAGTTTGTTTAATGCTGTTACCTGATATGACTGCAGTAGAAATTGGTTTTATTTAATGGATGATTTGTTGATAGTTTAACTGCATGCTTAATCATATATTTACGATACAAAAACTTAGATGTTCTTCAGCTTGTGATATTTGACAAAATTAAAAATAGCCATAGTTTCATTTCCTTTCTGCCTCTTTTCATGTTCTGACTTTAACTGTGCTTTATTTGGGAAGTGTGAAAGGATTCCCTACTGTGCGATAGCTGAGGCCCTTAAAAAGATCCATGTCCCGGAGCAATTAGAAAATGTAACATTTGCAAAGTTCTGAAAGCATTTAAGGAAAACATGCAGTAGTTTTCTTTCACCTCTTTTCAGATGACCATACCGTTCTGCATAGTTTGCTCCAGCATGACAGAAAACAGACAGTCCACAAAAAAGATTGTAGCTCATTCAGTTCTGGCTGCCCTTTACACATCTGCTTTTGACAGGAAGAGTGATGACTTTATATCCATTGTAAATGTTGATGGAGATATGTTATACCAAACAAAAATGGAATACCAGAAAGCAGGAGGCTCTGCAAATAAACACACAAATATATTATTTCATTCATCAGTCCAAATGCAACAGGGTCTTATAACTAAGTTAAGTTTTCGGTTTTGTTTGAATTTCTCTAAATTGAATGCAAACCTGCTCGGACAGTTCTAATTTCAAACACCTAGCAATGTTCAGCCTTAGGATTCTCAGTGTCTACAAAAATGCACATTGTTGTGTCACGTTGAAAGCTTGAACTTGATGAAAACAGGATTGACCTAGGATTATTGTATATAGTATTGGGACAGGATAAAATGCTGTTTTTGCTTTACAGTCAAGAAAATGGATTTGCGATCAGGAAATTGATATGAATGATATGTACTGTAATGCCCGTTTTCATTTTGGGAGCATCCATGCATTCATTGATCATATTAGATCAAAAAATGTAACTAAAGAACTGGAACACATTCACTATAAGTAAAGTGCATAGTACTGTGCTAAGAATGATGACCTATGATTAAAAAAAAAACTGCAATAGCAAGTTTGACTCAAGACAAAGGAAGGTTGTGTAGGTAAAGCTGTAAATCTTCACACACCACATGAACATTAGTTTTAAAACCACAGTCCTCAAAGTCTGAACCTAAAACAAAACATACAGAGCCTCATAGAAACATACATTTCTCTGCCACAGGAGCTTTAAAGAAACACTCTTGACCTCAGATCTGCCAATCAAACAGCTTTAAGCTATTTTCCTGTGAAAAAGCTGCACCTATTATTGACCAGTAATGAGGGCAACAAAGCAAAGGTACATTTCCGCTACTCTTGTTGTTTTTGCAAATTTGCTTCCTGTCCTTTGCTGGAGGTGTTTTTTTTTTCTATTCATTTTAGCAGTGTGCATCTAAGTTGCTAGGAGACCCTTTTAGTATGAGAATGAATGAGGCTGACAGCAAAGGATTAACTAAATAGCACCCAGCTTCTTCTTTAATAGTACCATTGTTTTACAATTGTAAAAACATGCTTTTTTTAGTCTAGTAATCACAAAGACAAAGGCCCTGATTTTAACCTGAAAAAAATCTAAATACTCAATGTTCAAACATAAAGTCTTTTTATGCAGTATATATTCTAACAATCAATGTTTTTCCTTTGAGAGGAAGCAGGGTTGTGTAAAGGACATCTTTCTTCCTGTATCATGGTTGATTATACAGCATTGCCGAAAGAAAATACTTTTCTTCTTGTTACTACTTTGACCTACCAAGTTAAACATGGTCTTACCGTGTTACTACTTTGTACCACCAGGTCAAATTTCAGAAACTAAGAAAAGTTATACCCGGCAGTATTGGGGGTATTACTTACTAAATCCAGGTTTCCTGGTGTTGATGGGTCACTTAGTGGCACTCCTCTCTGTGTAGAGGAATTTCCAAATAAATGCATTTGTTTGGTGCTACTGTACCACAGGAGGTGCCATTCTTTAAATATTTCACTGTTCATAAGAGTATGGGTGTTAAACCTAGGGTTCTGGCTAAATTCTTGCTTGGGCTTGCACATCTGGCCTCCTTAGGTTTCCTATTTTTTCCACTACTCTGCCTGATCTACTGTTAAGCGGATAGTTGCATGATGACTGATGTGCATCAATCAGGGGGGTCCTACACTTCCGATGTATGTATATCTTCAGATGTTCTAGCATTTTTATAACTTTAAAGTAACAAGTTTAACCGATTAGTCTTGTTATAAACTAGGATCAGATTCTTATTTTTTTTTACGTTTCTGTATTGTATATATTAAATCTACCTATGTTTTTGTGATGCCTGATATTTTCTTGGTAGAAATCTAATGAGATGCTCTCAGGGACCCACAGTAATAATAATTGCTACTTTCTGTAGCGCTTTTCTGGACACTCCACTTAAAGTACGGTACAGGTAATAGAGACTCCCCTCCACCACCAATGTGCAGCCACACCTGGATGATGCGTCGGCAGCCATAGTGCACACAGTATGCTCACCACACATCAGCTATCAGTGAAGAGGAGAACAGAGTGATGAAGCCAATTCATAGATGAGGATTACTAGAAGGTCATGATTGGTAAACGCCAATGGGAACTTTGATTAAATTACTAAATGCTGCTGTTTAGGTAAAGATCACTATGCCTCCTTGTGGAAGATACTGGATAAATCATCTTTATAGGATGAACCTATTTACACCATGGCATGCTTTCTAATTGCTTCTGTTGCTTTGCCTCATATAAGTATTTCACCCCTTTAAATTTCCTATTTTCCTATGTAATATTTTGTTGAATTACAAAGTACTGTATGTATAACAGTTTTCATAGAATATTTTTAATCAGATGTGAATTTTCAAACGGAATACTTTTGTGGGTCAGAGTAATTGTCAGTAAACACTTAAAAGAAAAAGAGAACCTCATTAGGCAGTAGTGGATATTTTTTGCAAGGCATTAAACATCAATGGAGGCAATTTTACCGAAACACCTTGCCACTCTGACCCAATAACTAGAAGCGCAAATAGCTCCTGAAAGCTTTTAGGGGAGATTACTGAGGGCAGAATCAGAGATGGATAATTTGATAGAGGAGATATTGTCAATATCAAACTGTACAAAACATCACATAAAAATGACATTATAAAATTAAATACAAAACAATCCATCAAGATGTTATCAGTATTAGATTAATAATATTGATCAAAATTAATTGACGTGCAAGAATAAAATAGAGTGGATAATGCTGAAACTCTACTACAGTATGTTCTTCTATGTAGTGCATTAGCTTGTACAGTATGTTACATAGGATGTCTAGCTCTATTTAAATTGACTGCATATGTTTAAATGACTTTTTTTGTTTACATTAATGCTTTTTAAATAAATATATATTCTTGGCCATTTGTGGGCTACATGCTGTCTAGAGTAGCTCTGATATTACCAGCAATACATCCAAAAGAAGCCTGAGTCTCTACGTATTCAGTTCATTTCTGTTTCAGAAGACCATCTGATTAGCATCTGGTTTCACTACTGTAAGTGAGGTCTGATGTAGTTAACCAGTGAACCTTAAATCCTTTTGTATAAACTGTGATCAAACAGAGAGGGAAGTGGCAAAATGAGCTTTTTAATTCTGAGTTTTTCTTTTAAAATAGTTTTTCCATGTTGTTGGATTTTTTCCTGGAAATATTGTTTGCTTATACCTCCTGTTGTTTTCTCACTTTTCCGTGAGCAACTTGTTCTGTTGTTTTTAGGATCTGAAGTGGTATTGTGTGAGAATGGAAAGTGTGTGAAGGGGAGAAGAGTTTCTGATTTCATCTTAAGAATGTTGACTGTTATATACACACATTCATTGTTCAAACAGTTTATACATTATTAACTATTAAGTTGCCAAGAAAATCCCTTCAGCTTTTTTGCTACTGTGAGTCATTGCCAAAACATGAATTATTTAATTTGATTTCAATTATAATTTCAACATTTATCTGTATTTTTATAGTATATGTATGGAGTTAGTACAAAATGTTATAAATTAGGGATGTATTAATCATAAAGTGTCAATAAATCCCTTATGAATGTATTAACCCATTATTCGTTAATGGGATGTATTAGTCACATTTCTTTCATAGAAAGATTTTTTAAAATCAACATGATGAAGTAAAGACCTCGATATTATCTGTAGTGCTCAGTTTGATGTGGGAGAAAAGCTGACAATTAAAAGGAAGGCAAACTGTTTTTTTCATCTGCATGGACAAAGGTGTTTTTTGTCTGTGAATAATTTTTTGTGGCGTTAAATATTGAAAGGAAATGACACAGTGTCATCAGTGGCTGGCTGAGACCCCACCTTTGCTATGCAAATAGTGTGTGCTTTGTGTTTTACCATGTGTGGTCTGGAGGAGGTGATCCCCCAGAAAGGTCAGAGCCCTTATTTCAATGAGAGAAAGGCTGCCTTCTTATTCTGGGCAAGTGTCCAGACAAGCTAAGGAGACTGGCATACTGTCTCTGCATACTGAACACTCATAAATATTAATGCAGTGCACCATGATTGTGACCATGATGGGAATATTGATGTACAGTATACGTAATTTTAAACTCTGGAGATAATGTTCTGTAACTGCAGTTAAAAGCCTATGCAGTATTCCCAGGAAGAAGAAATAATGCATTACCTTATTTTAGTCACATTTTTTGTTTCAAACAAGTGTAGATTGTTTGACAGTGTGCATTATCGATATGTTTCAGTCTTTGTTACAAATGCTTATAAACCCATAATCATTTAAATAGTTTGGAAAACATTGGTGCATATGTTGTATTATAACAGAATTTTTTTTTACTTTGTATTTCAGTTGCTGCCCTTTGCTCATAGTCCTCTGATAAATAGATTTAGACACTAAATAATAAATATTTCATTTCCTCACAGGTAATGAAAACATACCACATGTACCACACAGAGAGCATCAGCGCTGAAAGCAAACTGAAGGAGGCAGAAAAGCAGGAGGAAAAACAGTTTAGTAAGTCAGGAGACATAAACGTCAACCTCCTACGACATGAGGACCGGCCGCAGAGACGCAGCTCTGTCAAAAAGATCGAGAAGATGAAGGAAAAGGTAAGGCAAAATGGCTTTTAGGAAGTTGGCTTGTGTCTGAATAATTCTTAGCTATCGCATCCTCACATTGTTAAACATAAGAAGTGCAATTTCATTAATGGATATACAAATGGATTATTATGGATTATTATTTTAGGTTTTTATGGGCACAAGAATTGGCAGATGATCTAAAGAAGTAAGAATGGGTTCTTTCTTTGCTGCTCAGTACAATTGTCTGTTGTCATGCTTACCCAGAATACCCTGCACTGGTTTTCTTCAGTCACTTCCAGTTCATGACTGGAGGTAAGAGGCATCCAGGGCTGTGAGTGCCCCTTTCCTGTTGTGATCTAATAGCACCTGTGATGCTTGAAGGTTCCAATCAGTAAAGTTTGACGGTGGCAGTAAAATGAGATGAGGTGCTCTGGAAAGAGATATGGCATAATTTAACAGCGCAATAATAATGCTGAGAAAAGATGGTCTCCAACTGCAGTTATATCAAAGCCACGGACAGTGCTTTATAGATAAGAGACTGTAAATTCCAGGACAGAGCCTAAATGATGCTGATTATTTGAGAAAGCAATTCATTTTTGCTGGCAGTAGTAATTATATGTTTCCCTTGATACTTATGTGAAATGCAAAGAGTGTGTATTTTTTATGATTTCAATTGTGGCTTTGGTCTTAAGCCAATCATTTTTTTCTTTTCTTAAAGACAAGCATGATTGAATGACAGATGAACTTTGACAAAGTGTGTTTTAACTGTGCATAAAAGAAGCTTAGCAGTTCTTTAAATAAAGCTCCAATATTGAAAATTAGTTTTAACCTATTGTGGAGTAATGTTTCAGTTTAAATAAACGTTCAGTTAATATGTACCAAGTGCTGTGTATCTTCATCATCTTTATTTTTTTGTCTCTAGGAATCCTTTCCACTGTATTTTGATATTTATATATGTGTGTATTTATGTTTTTTCTTATGTCAAATAATTTGAACAGTAACTCAATGATCTTGGGATACAAACCAATACAGACCTTGGAAAACTGCCATTTCTTTTTTGAGGATTAATTCTTATTTATTGTCAATGCAATTCAAATAGCAATCAGTTAATATAAATTATTTATGATTGTAATGTGGGTAAGAACATCTGAACCTGCTTTATGTACTGTACTTCTTAATCAAAATAGAATATTTCCCAGCTGAGCCTTAGCAGCTGTTTCACTTTTCCAAGTCAATATGCTGCATACCGTCTTTTTTCCTTGAACTTGGTTGTACTGCAGTGGTTAGAGAGAATTGGAAAGAGAATGTCTAGCTTATTAAATTAGACATTTTTCTTGAACTTGCCAAGCTGTCCTGGAAGTGTACATACAGTATGAGGTTTGTGTGACTACAATGTGCTTACCTTCCTGAAATGTTATTGTCTTTAAGAGAAAATATATATTATTTTGTTTATGATAATGTCCTTTTTAGGTGATTTTACAAAAGATTCATTCTGGGATTTGAAAGAACAACAATAGTGATTCTAAGACATAGTGTACTGTACAATATATGTCATTGTGTATATCAATGTATCTTACAAGGAATATCCTCTAACATAATAGTAAGTTTATACAGTAAGTGTATGTAGTTCCTAAGAATTTATTAAGAAGTTATGAATGTTAATTAACTCTTGTCATATCTATTTGTTCTGAAATGGAATCATATTACTTCTAATTGAACCTTTTTTGCACATGAAGTCCGGGCTTTTATCTGTTTTGCCCTTGTTAAGACCCACCAGTATCTATCAAGGAACACCCTTGTAATCACAGTACATGTATTCAGTCCTTGTAAAAATATTCATCCCCTACCGATAATCTAACATTGTGACGATAAGCAAATAATATATTGTTTTTTCATATGAACTTTTTGTATTCAAGCCTGAAATAATCGGACTGAGCTCTGTTACATATGAAGGAGGTTATATATCAGAAAACTCTGTAAAGAGTTCTAGACTTTCCTTCCAGAAAGTCAGTTCTGGAAGGAAGTACTTCTGGCAGCAATTACCACTGTCCCTGTTTTGCAATTCCTATCAGCTTAGGAGAATGGAATGGTGTCATTTTGTCCATTCTTCTTGGTATAATTTCTCCAGGTATTACACATTTGTTGGAGATAGCTGATGGACTGCAATTGTCAAACCTTTGCTACTCTACAGATTTTCTGTTGGATTTAAGTCAGGAGTGAGTTTAACTGGGTACCTGAAGGACATTCATTTTCTTCTGGTCAAAAAGCTTGGTGCAAATGTCCTGCTGAAATGTATATTTTAGACAGCTAATCGTATTTTGTTATTTGTTTGAAGGAGACGTCTGAAACAAGTCAGCAGTTACACACTAAATTCAGTTCTTTCTTCTATGTCAGTTTCCATTTGCTTAATTGAACCCATTAAACCCTGGTGGTAGTGACTTGTGTCTAATGAGAAGCTAAACCTGAAGTAGAGAGGTCCTTAGGGACAAGCCTTGGTCTAAAATACACAAGGCAGCTGTCATTATTAAAATAAATTGTAAAGCGCTACGAATTAATGGATGGTAAAAAGTAAATTACTTTATCCATATCATTTTACCATAATGTCACTTACTAAAGTAAATTGTCTTTTGTAACCAAAGCCTGCACACATCAAGGGGCGCAGGTGTGTTGTAATGTAAAACAAGATATTGGTATCAAGCTAGGCACAACCAGTACAGATGCTTTCAGATTACCCCATAAGGAGAGTTTCATTTGTGAATGGTCTGATTTTTTTTTTTAACCTTACATTGCCCTTCTGTTTTTCAGAGGCAGGCCAAGTATTCTGAAAACAAGCTGAAGTGCACAAAAGCTAGAAATGACTACCTGTTAAATCTGGCCGCAACCAATGCAGTTGTGGCAAAATACTACATCCACGATGTCTCTGACATGATAGACGTAAGTAATAAAGCATGTTTTTTGGGGGGGGGGTTGTGATAGAGTTAGAATTTTTCCTTGGCAATAATGTTATAACCTAAAAAGATAAATTTTACCACAGTTTAATTTTAATCTGTGAACATGTATAAATTAAGTAGCATTGCAGTGCAACTCTTTTCCATAAATGGAAGAAAACACTAGATTGTCTTCACCATCTAGGTTCCGTGATAAATGCAGCCGTCGCCAGCGGATTGCAACTCTTGTGGCAACTGATGGTTTTAGAGTATATGTCACATTGAGGTAATTTAGCTGCTGTGAATGTAGTAGGGGAAACTCAGAAAGGAGTGCACAGAAAGAAGCCTACATAGTGAATTAATGAATTAGTGCATGCACTTAGAGGAGCCCAATAAGCAAAAGGCTAGTACCCTCACATGCCAGTTGGATGGTGTCCATTCTCCAATTGGACAGTCTGGGCTTGGAGAGCAGTGCCAGGAGTCTTGCCCCAAAAGATAGCAAAAAAGCTGTCTACTAACAAAACAGGTGCTGTGCACATGGGCATGGGCAACCAAGTTTTAAAGAGACTCACAATATAAACAGGAACTTATTTGTTTGAGCACTAAAATCTTTTTTTAACAGATTTAGGCGAGTTCTGGTAACTGAGAGTTATTGAGGCCAGTAGACATAATTGCTAGAGTCCACAAGCCAACAAGGTTGAGTTAAGCCTGAGAGACCTGCAGATAAGAAGCTGTAGCAGTAAAGTAAGAAAGGAACTTAATCAAAAAAGCCAGAGATCATACACCCATGAGAGCAGAGAGAGGTGGCTAGAATCATTCCAATTCAATTTAATTCATTCCTTTTGTGAAGTGTGGTGTCTGGCGAGTTAATATCCAAAACTGAAGTAATCCAAAAAATCAAGCTCAGTGAGCAAATTGTCAGGCAAGTAGTATGGTTAAAAGTAGAGTAGATAAAACTGTCACCCAGTGACTAGAAGAAGAGCAGTCTGGAGAGACAGCATGATCCTTTTGGACTCATTTACTGTAAACTTAGCAAAGTTTAGTGATGTGGTATTTCCTAATGGTGACTGCCTGCCATTCAGGCTTGAAGGGTAAACTTTATTAGTGAATGGATCTTTCAGTTTGCATGCCATATCTTGTTCATCATGATTCTCCACAAACAACCTCTGAGAGAATGTCTGGATTTTTTTCCCTTTCACCCATCTTTCTTCTTTTGATAGATAAGGAAAACCATGAGATTGCTTAAGTTTGTTAAAATAATTGCTCATGTGATCTAACCTCTGTTGTTCATGTAGATTTTTTTTGCTTGTCATGAACCCAGAAATAATATTTTCTTCAGTGATAAACAAATCCCTAAGGGGAAATGCATTCAAAAGTGAGGAACCAGAGTCATACACCTCTGTCACTGCTAATTATATACAGCAGTGCATCTGCCAAGCAAAGTATGTGCAGAGTATCACATCCATGACTGGCACAGTAATGTCATGGTCTTAATTTTTTTTTCTGTTAAGTGGTTTATGCATAGAGCAAATATATAGATGCGTTGGAAAGGAAATATATAGCAATATATATATATGTAGGAGTAAAGCAGGAAAATGAACTGTCAAGTTATTTGAGAAGGCCTCATTTCATGTTGTGCAAATTCGGGGTACTGTATTAACACCTGTGTTCATGACGCCATTCCATGCCTTTAATTCTTGTCTTGGATGTTGTCCACACAACCTGCTTAGTGTATTCTGCAGAGTAACTGTCTTTTGTTAAAAACAGGATTTTTGTGACATGCAAGACATCTCGGTATTATCATGTGGGGAACTTAAGGAGATGCTGAAGACTAAAAAAAGAAGCCTTTTTAACTAGAAACTAGGCAGCCAGATACAACAGCATCTAGAGGATGAGTGTGAAACGATTTCTAGATTTAGTCAAGTTCTATTATCTATGGAGGTCTTGTGGGGACACTGGGAAATAATAATAATGACACAGAATATAAACTGGGGTTAAAAGTAAATAAATGATGATTGTAAATGTTTTGGCTTGCATTGAAATGTATTTTACACATTTTGTTCTGATACTCTTATCAATACACATCCATTTCAGCTTTGATATTATGTGCCCACATACAGTATATGATTAGTGAGTTACCTATACTTTTTCAGAGCTTGTCAACAGTAATGTGCACATGATGAAGTGACTGTGCTTCTATGTAGGTGGTTTCATAAATTGGCATGACAGTGACTTAGGGTATTAAGAAACATGCATTTTCTTAACATTATATTAAGAAAATAGAACAAATTATCCTGAATATTATTATACACTTTGTCTAGGTGATTTATATTTCTTTTTTAATTGCATACAAATGTTGGCTCCCATTTATACAGCTGGAGCTATTGGGATACAGTATCTGGCATCAGAGATATACAGTAGCAGCACTGTCCTTCTTGATCACGCTCAAACTTAACCAATTCTCCACACTTCTGCCCAAATTACCACACAGGGCTAAAGGCATACTGGGTGTACATTTGCACAGATCTTTGTAGGAAATACTGTTATAATATTTACAAGTTATATGAAATAAATAAAAAAGGAAGTGGTTTCAGTATGAAACAGGCTTGCAAATGTAGAATGTAGTTGGAAATTTTTATTTTATTGAAGAATTTCTTGGGACTGCTTTTATGTCTGGTGTAAACATCAAGAAATCAACATTCAAATCTTAGTGTAGACTAACTGTGAAAGTCTTTTTCTGTTTTCATTGAATTACAAAAGAAATTGTAAATTGAATTTAAAAAATAGATTTGTGCTGTCATTGTGAGTAAATGCTAACGTTTTTTAAAGACTGTATGCCTTTAATAAAATACTAACCGCTTTTCACATTCACATTCCATGTGGTTTTGCTTTGGATTTCTTAATTTTTTTTAAGGATCATTACAAAATATCCTGTTACTCTTTTTAATGTCATAATCTTCCAATGAATTTGAATTATCTGTGTTGATAGAAGTTAAACCTGTTTTGGTTGCATACTTCAGCAAACTTAAGAGAGGTCTGTCTCATTTGTTAGTATTAATCTCAGTAAGAATGTTTATTTTAGTATTAATCTTTGTATGATTTGGCCTGCTGTCTAGGACTTACTCTGCATTAAGGTACCTACAGTACCATTGTGGTTAAAGGAGGAGTTTGTGTTCTTTCTTCTTACCTTGAAAAAAGCAAAAAATTGTATTTTTATCTCTACACTTCACACAATGAAGATCACAGAGAAGATCTCTGAGCACTTCATGGGTTGAAAGATGTGATGGTGGTATGATGGTCTTCCATAAGGATTAAAGAATTTGAGTATTTCTAATTAACTGCTTGACTCACGATAGGTGTCAATTTGAATACTTTGTGTGTCACTCAATGCTTTCCAAGTCTTGAAGACTGAGATCGCTTAACAATGAAGGAACTGTTTATTTACAGTGCTGTGACCTGGGTTACCATGCCAGTTTGGCTCGCACATTCAGAACTTATCTCTCTGCGGAGTACAACCTGGAGACTTCCAGGCACGAGGGACTGGATATCATCGAGAACGCTGTGGATAACCTGGATGCACGCAGCGACAAACACAAAATCATGGATATGCACAACCAGGTTTTCTGCCCCCCGATGAAATTCGAGTACCAACCTCACATGGGAGATGAGGTGACACAACTACCGTTCAGATTTTCAGATGCACAATTTTAATGATATAATATCTTCTCCCTCCCCTCCCCCCCAACAATGAAATATGATCAGTTAAATACAAGAGTCCTTACCTGTTCCTATATTGCATTTGCTCATTTCAGTTCCTTAGATTTTAAAGACCAGTTACAGTGAAAAGTCTCCATGCAATTCTCCAGACCTTCCAAAGTAGAGGGACTGTAAGTTATTACACATAACTTCCACCATCACTGTGTCTATGGATGAAGTGCTGTCAGAAAATGGAAGTGATGCATAATAACCCATATTTGCAGATAATATGTTCCAAGCAGTCTCCAGATAATGCCGATATTTCCTTTTCTTAATAGATTGTGATTTTAAAAAAACATTTGTATGAGATTAATAAATGTGCAGACATACTCAGATATGTTTTGTTTCTGGGGATTTAGCTTTGAAAAGTTTAATATCTATCATGCACAACTATGCTGTGAAATGCTAATGAAAAATGCTCATGAAGTTTACACCTCCTTTTTTGTGGTGCTTTTTTCTCAGGTGTGCCAAGTCAGCGCTCAGCAGCCAGTTCAGACTGAGCTCTTGATGCGATACCATCAGCTACAGTCCAGACTGGCTACCCTCAAGATAGAGAATGAAGAGGTAACACCAAAAACCAGGGAGAAAGAACAAGCATATGTGAACAACTTCAGGCACAGTTTATTGTGGGTGATGATATTAAGCATTGTGGGTGATGCTTAATATATTCCAAAAAATGTTATCGTCCCAAAGAGGAGAATAAAATGTGACTGGAGGGATTTCAATAGTTTTTTCTAATTATGGTTTCATGATTTAAGTCTTACTGATTGGAAATGATTTTAAAATAAGTTAATTCACTTGGTATGTACTTCTGTTTCTCACCCACAGCCCCTTGTCTATCATATGTGATATATAATTGATCATCACCTTCATTTCAGTGACGTGGTTCATTACTCTTTATAGCAACCTGAACCGGCCTAGAGCTATTTTTATGCACAGCCTTTATAACTGTCACACTGCTTTCATTTTCAGCTGTGTTAGTTAGACTAATGTTTGACCTCAGGTCATCTTGCATTAAACCAAGGAATGAGCATCTCTTTTAAGGCAAAGTCGCCAGTATGCAGTATGCAGTATAAAGGTGATGTATTGGTATTGGCCAGTTCAGCTATCAAATAGATGGGTCAGTACTATCACCTCCAGCTCCAATTTTAACCAAGATTAACATGGGATACAAATAATAATATATCTTTTAAAATCGGCAAAGTTTTCGAAGTACAACTCCTGCTTTGTATTAACTGGTTGAAACCAAACAGCTTGTGTATAAAAAGTCATATACTGTATAGCCATGTGTCGTAACACTAATGGGCCAGAATCATAACAATTTAAATGCATTAATTTCCTCTACTTACAGTACATATATTTATAAACAGCTCCTGTGATGGTTAAAGATGACATGCAGAGAATATTTTTTTTTTTCCACAGGTGAGAAAAACCCTGGATGCAACAATGCAGACCTTGCAGGACATGTTAACTGTCGAAGATTTTGATGTGTCAGATGCATTCCAGCACAGTAGATCCACCGAGTCCATCAAGTCAGCAGCCTCCGAAACATACATGAGTAAACTTAATATCGCCAAAAGGAGAGCCAACCAGCAGGAAACGGAAGTCTTCTATTTTACTGCAAGTAGATTTTTATTTTTATTTTTCTAGAAAATGATCGATACAATACACTAAATTGAAAAATACTATACCATGGTTGACCACTCCTGAGAAATGAGGAAGTGAAACTCAAAATCTTAAACTAGCTTTAAATGAAATTCAAATATAGGATGATTAAATACCACTACTAACCTGAAGCTTACGTACCTGATGGTCATGTACAGTAGCTTTTACATGGTCATCTGTTTTGTAAAACAATATTTTGGGAATCAGAATGAAATGTCTTAAAACTTAAGATTGTGACAAGCTTAATTTTTTACAGTAGTTTATTTTTGTGAATGAATTGGTAAAGCTAAGCTATTTTCTTCACAGATTCTTCTCTGTATTGCAGGTATATTTTCAAGAATGAGTTGCTGATGCTTTGTACGCTTCTACAATTTTACACCATGATATTTTCATTTTCATTTGTCATATCAGACTTCTCACCCTTGCTTTTTATTTACAGAAATTCAAAGAATACCTAAACGGGAGTAATCTCATCACTAAACTCCAGGCTAAACATGACCTCCTTAAACAGACCCTTGGAGAAGGTAAGGCATAATGAATTACAGATCAAAGCTTATGGTATACTACAGTAAACTTGGCATGTGCTGTAGCTACCTAATTATACACGGAATTCAACGATTGTCCTAAAGATTTATAAAAAGAACATTGAAGCTTTCTGATGAACAGAATGTAACAGGACAGAGGGGGCATAGGCACTTGCAGGATATTTTAGATAGAACAAAATTTATATTTTAGTGTGTTAAAGAAGTGCCAAAGGAAATGTGCCATTAAGTGTCAGTGAGAAAACTACTGAAGAGAGCCTGTGTTGGCCAGTGCCTGAAGTGCAAATATGTTTCAAGGCTGTGAAGACCAGTTTACTTGTGATCTGTCTGCACCATCCCCCAGTATTAAGAATTAAGATTAATCTATAGCCCCTTACGGTACTCAGCCACGCCCCATAAATCACAAAAGCTCCCATGGACACACATACACACTACTAAGCAGCTGTTCATATAACAGGTATTAATCTAATTGATAATATGCCAGCCTTCGGCCAGCTGAGTCCAGCCACACAGATTCAAAAATCCTGCTCAGCAAGACACTATCCCATATGGTCAATTATTGTCCCATTTCATCAGCTGTGAATGTTTTGACATCTCTTTTTTGTGACGTTGTACGCAGACAGCTCTTTAGATACTGTATGCTGGGTACCATTTTTACAATTAGATGTTCATAAATGTAATACAGCATGTACTGTACATGGTTTGTAGACATATTATAGTCAAGGGAACCTGTAGGATTACAAGTTTCAGCACTTGTGTTTCAAGTGCTTCAATTGCATTTCAGTGCATTGATTTTCTTTATTTTCAGATAGAATCTTCTGTTGTCAAAAGATTGTTAGCTGTTTAGATTCGCTCTACTAGATATTAGATTCTCTGTATATTAGTCAAAACTACAAGCTTAGGGACAAGAGGCAAGTGAGGCAAGACAATTGAGTGAACAATGCAATTCTGTAACCATTACATGTACTGTATTGTTCAGCCATGTTTTCCAATGGGGGTGTTGCAGACAAAGGCTATAGTATTTTTGGTTTCTGGTTCAGCAGATTGTCCCCCACTGGAAGCCTGTGGTTTATTGCTGTTAATAAAAATGTTCCTTGTTCTTATTTTTCTTCTGTTTACACCATTGTAGATGAGCAGAGTGCGTTTCCCATTTGTTTTGCCGAGTTATATAATCCATCAATTATTGAACTACCAAATCCTGAATAGTTGTGGACTCCTGGCAGTTGAAATAGGCCAATTATAATTTACATATAATTATAATTTAATTTTTGAATGCTTATGTCATTGTAATTGGAGTGCTGTTTAAAACAAACTTTACTGTTTTGAAATTTCATTGCAGTTAATGGACACAGTGTATGTGTGAAATAAAGACTTTGATAGGAAACAGAAATTGCTGTAGAAAGATGTACTTTAGAAAAGAGTTGGAGAAAATAGTCAAAGTTATTCGACACTTTTTCAGTCCTTTGGATTGTGTACTTCATGGTCAAATGTTGACTGAATGTTATTTGTCTGTTATTTCCTTTTAAAATATTCATGAAAAGGCTTCAATTAAAAACTACATTGAATAGGTGAAATACACAACAAAGTAGCATTGTAGTTAATTTTATTAAATTAATCTCTTATGAGAAAATTGGACTTATTTGGGTGCCATTTACTGGAGAAAGTGCATAGAAATCCATCTGTGAAATATCTAGTAGAGCTATTTCAAGAACTTCATTCATTTGCACTTGGGACCACAAAGTTCTACTTCCATGCCAAAATGTTATATTATAAAATGCCACCAGCTTCACTTGAATTGAAAGAGCTAGTGTGCAGTTCTGTATCCTTTTTATTATTTGCTTATTCCTATTTTATTATATGCACTTCATAGGTGTGCTCCCTTCCCAAAAACACATATTTGTGGGAAATAATCTTTTTTGGCATGGAAACTTATATTGAGTATAAAATCTAAAAGACTTTCTATACACAATAGAAATTATTTTTAGATTTTTAGTTGTAATTTGACAGCTGTAAAAAGATATTCACTGTTTAAGAAAAACTGTTAACAGCAAGAGACTCTCATTTTCATTAATTTCATCTCTTCCTGCATTCAGAGAGAAACAGTGATCTGACCCATGCTGACTGACCCAGTATCTTTCTTAGCTTGATTATCAGTAATTCAATGTCACGTGTTGCTTCTTTTTTGAGTGAGTGCTAGATTATTCACACCAACTGAACTCCTACAAGAGGACTAGTGTGCTCTAACAGATATTGCTCGACAGAATTAGTTCTTCTTCCCTCTAGGCTTTTTATTTTCACTATTTTACATTTAATCTCCCTACATTGTTACTTTTGTTTTCTAAGGCTACTGCAAAATATCACTATATAATGGGCCATCAATCCGTTGATATTCAGTTCACATTGACATGTTAAATTGTTTGTTAATCTTTTGTCAATGGTTTAGAGATCAATGGATAAGAATTCTATGCCATCCTAAGGCTAATGCTTTGCTTTTGCTTTTTAGGTGAAAGGGCGGAATGTGGCACAACAAGGTAAAAAATGAAATAGCAGCGCCGATTATTGTGCTCCAAGTAGCTGCTCAATATGAAACAGAAAATAATTGACTAGTTGTTGATAATTTTTATCTCCTCTAGGGAATTTAATCATCCAACATGTATCCAAATTATACTTCGTGTCATGAGAATGCTAAAATGTTATGAGACCAATAATGAATAACACCTGATTTTTTTAATGGAAGTGGAGTGTTGTTGCCACTCTTTAAAACATAGTTGTTGTTGCTAAGCTGCTACAAATAATTGGCCTGATATTAAAAAAAGGTCTCTGTTATTTTCTTGCTGCTGTATATTTCCACTTGGCTTGCTCTAGCATGCCTGCAAGTACAGTGTCAGCTCAATTTACTGAAGTTTTTCAGCTTTAGAGATTTCACTTTAAACCAAAATAAGGTTCCAGGTCTTAGAATACACCATATTGCACCTTTATTAGTGAGGTGAAGTGCTGCAGTTGGAACATTTAAAGCTCATTAAGCTGATCCTTTCTCATAAAGCTTGGCAGAATAGGGACATTCACTAAATCCCACAGAGCCGCTTGGATTACCATCATTCACTGTGCATCTTTTCCTCAGTTAGTTTTTAAAATCCCATTTTTGGAAAACTTGTGACTTTTCCATGTATTCAAGTGAAGGTTTTTTTTTGTCTGTCTTAAAGTTTTTTAATAGGCACTGTTCCGCCCTGTCTTCCTTGTTTCACTTTAATTTTTTTGTGGGGATACAAGAGCAGCTGCAAGTTTACCTACAATAAATGTGTCACAGTGGGCAGAGGGATTTAATAAAGGATTGTTTGCCAATTTGCCTGTGAGTGGCGCACACAGCAAAAGTACACAACTGAGTAACCAGACCTCCCTATCCTTTGAGCCAAAACCACCAAATGTTTGTAAAGGATTTGCTAGATGCATATTTTCAACTGAATAGCTGAAATGAAAGTGTCACCAAAATATTGTTTCATGTAAAACTCTTACAGGGCAAGGAGTAGTAAACAGAGAATGCTGTTGTGTTCTTAGTGTGTAGTGAATACTATAGATCGTACAGATTAGATTATCTCTACCTATTCCAAAAATAATACACTAACTGTACATTGAAAATAAACACAATAGTAAATATTAATTTAAAATATTAGTGTCAGTACCTTCTGGAATATGCAAACTTGAATTAATAGAGGCTCTATTGATAATTTTTATAATTAGAAAAGAACTTTTATTTTGATCAGCTACTTAATGTTGTTTAATCTTCAAAGAAATTAATGTTACTTTAAGTAGTTCAAAGCAATTCTGTTAAAGGTTTTTCCATCCACTTTGTATAGGTGTGTCTTCTCTAGTTTTGTCTGTTCACTTAATGTTCATAAATATACTTCAGTGTGCATTCAGTTTCACAGGTCATTGGTTTTATGCATTGCATGCAAGTGCAAGCTTGAGCTCTATACATTTGAGCCTCAAATGCTGACTGTACTGATAAAATGGCCAATTGGATTCTAATGGCAATTATTCTAAATCTAAATCAAGCGTACTTTAGTAAATTAATTTTTATCTGTTTATATTGCTGTTTGTTTTGCTCTGTGAACTACCATTATGTGCCAACAACGTAAATCATTTTGAAATCAACTCTGCTGTTCAAACAAGAAATATTTGCTTTCAGTGGCTTTTTTGTATTAATTACATGGCAAATAATGCATGATTCATGCAGCACACACAACCATACTTTTTAAAACTCTTGTTATCTGTACAGATTCATGCAGGTAGCCCAGTCATTCCTGCTTTCTCAAACTAATTTGACATTGACATTGCATTTCAGTCTTAAATCTTCCTTTCATTCTGATCTATTTAATTTTTGTAGGCCTAGCATCACATAGGACAGGCTCTCAGAAAAGGTCTCACCTAATATCTGTTTCCCATTGCAGTAATTGTGTTTTTGTATTTGGTGTTTTTGTTTTCATCATTTTTCTTAGGCCCCCAACACTTCCCCCTAAACCACAGAAAATGAGGAAGCCTAGACCTCGATCAGTGTATAATCATAAACTGTTTAACGGCAATATGGAAACATTCATCAAGGTACTCACTGGTGTGCTTGAGAGTCCCTGAATGCTAAATGGATTGGTGGCTTAGACTTACCCTCACAGCTCTCCCTCATCTTATGCCTTCTGATTAATCTCACTTGCACTTTCTTTCCATGGCTTTTCAGATTCAGGCAGTTGTGGTTGCAGCTGGGAAAGCTTTTGTGCAGGGAAAGTGAGATAACCCAAAATTTGGACTTTTGTTTGCAGTTTACGGCCTTTTCTATACCAGATACTGAACAGGCCGAAAGTATAACTTTTGTCATTCATGAATGTACATTCATGAATGCGACAACACTGAAAATGCATGCCCAGTGTATACTGGAGGGATTTTCAGTTTTAATCATTTCAAGTTCAGAATGACTGATTCCGCATACATAAGACAAGCAATTCTCTGCAGACGCCCTAGCCAAAAAAATAGGAGCACGGGGATGGCGCAGTACAGAGATTAAGAAGCTAGGGAGTGCAAGAGCATGCTGTTATGACATCTTTGACATAAAAATGTCATGGACATTTCCCCATAAGTGGTGAAGTGCAATTAACGATTTGTTTAGCAATGATTTAAACCGTCATTGCGTATTTTATGGATGGAGTTTGTCCATTCCGTTTCGTAAACGGACTTGAACGGTCCAAAAGGTAGATTTTTTTTTTTCGGATTCTGGCAAATTTTTCATGTCTCCTAAGCTAAGGCTGTATGGAAGAATGAGGCCTGTTGGAAACGCGGAAAACCCGTTTCTCTTCTGCATTGAAGAGAAGCCGCAGCAGTGGGCTTTCCTGCACGTAGTTTCCGGTTGACAAAGTTTACTTCCAATTCCGATGATAGCTCTGGAAGTGCAGGACTGGTTTCGATAGCTGTTAACACCTTTCCCTGCATCTCAAGCCATAAAGCTGCCATTGCATTTAGCTTCCTGGCCTCTCTGACGGGAAAGGTCCGTTTGCTTCTTTAACTTTTTTGGTTCTTGCTTCCCCTCTTTTGTTCCCCTGCTGTGCTGCTTTCTTTACCAGAGGAAGACGGAATGCTCGTACCAGAAACCAGGTACTATCTGAAAGAGAAATCTAGTGTTGAAAGCTAAGGTTTAAACAAGGGCACTAAACTTTCTTCTGCCTTTTCTGTGTCTCATTCAAGCATACTAATACGCCAAGTGTATTTTATAATGCATTTCAGCATTAAATTCTCGTCCATTTTCCGGATAGAAATCTGCAGAGGATCTGATCTTTGGAAGCCTGAATCTAACAATAAAATCTATTTAAAAAAAATCCAATATAAAGGTTGCCACAACTTTCATAAGAAAACAAATGCACAATAACTTAAACAAATTTACAGTGATTTTTTTTTACTTTGTATGTAGAACTATGAATGCTAATTGTGATTACTGTAATTAACATTTAGTGCAGCCTGATGCATACAAATGTAAATTATTATAAATTGTCTTCATTCAGCATTAAAAGGATCTGAATAACTAAAAACTGTGGTTTGCATTTCTAGAATAATTGAACTCTTTATGTTTTTATTTAAGGACTCAGGTCAAGTCATACCCCTTGTTGTGGAAAGCTGCATTCGGTACATCAATCTGTATGGTAAGCATAATCAATACCACTATTGCAACAATAAGAAGTTAGAAGTAAATATGTGACATAAGAAGTTAATATTTGAATTATCTTCTATTCTGAATGAATTTCCTTGAATTGTTCAGTAAGGGTTTTTCATAAAAAATATTTTAAAGATACGAGTTACTGCTGGTGGCTTGTATTTAAAAATAATCTATAGGACCCTTTTATTAGGAACTAATAAAAGTTCCTGTAGGATAATAATCAAGCTATTTCAGCGTAATAAAATATTTCTAGTCTACATACCTCGACATCTGTGCTTTTGAGTGTTTTCCATATGTTGTAGTAATGATAGAATCTCTGTAAAGATTTACATAGACTCACATTACTGCTGTCACAAGTAAGTCATAAAAATTTTCAGGCTGTAAAATGACACGGTTCTGAAATTGTTTCCCATTCCCTTTTTTCATTCATCTTCTTGGTGGCAAACTTTTAAACATTGCCTGTCAGGAGTACTCCTTGAAGAAGGTGACAGTCACCTTAATTAAAAAAGTCTGAAGAAGTGGAACTGCTTTTTATATTTAGTTTGTGTTCCCAGCTACTTATTCTTTTCAGCCTGCCAGTTTACTTAATCTTCACATCTATTATTAACGATTATTCATATCTTATAAAGATTGATAAATATCCTTAGTTCCACAACAAGGCAGTTAGTAAATCATATAACCTCAAATCCATATAATTCAAATTAAAACACCACCATCCTAAGTTTTCTTGACTTCATTTTTTTAAGTTGGAGCATGTGTTATGTGTCAGTTGGAAGATAAATTTTGCCCATTTGCCCTTACCTGCATTATCTTTTGTGCATGTATTTTAACTTTGTTATTTAGCTTTAATTTACCTTAAACTATAATAATTTAAGATGATTTAGAATAACCCACCTACAGATAGTAAGAAATAATCAATTAAACCAGAAAGATGTTTTGATATCAGGTGAATATGTTAAGATATTGAGAGGAGCTGTCTCTCAGTTTGATGTAATTTCCCAGCTCCTGTGTGATGTGATTATAACAATTTAAAGCAGTTTTCAGTTCTTGTTCTGTGCTCTGCAGGTTTCTGGATTGATTTCAATTGTCATATGCATCAGTGTCAAGATAATAATCCAGTTGACATGAGTCAATATTTTTCTTTTTTCAGGTCTTCAACAGCAGGGTATATTTAGAGTTCCGGGATCTCAGGTTGAAGTCAACGATATAAAAAATTCATTTGAAAGAGGTTAGTCTGCACTACAGGAGGTTTGTATGTCTCATTTCCAAAACCTGTCTGTCTGAAAAATAAATGCCATTAATGTAGAACAATAGTGTTTCACTCTCCCATGTTATTCTTTCCTTTTTTCTCAAACTAATTTATCATGGGAGATGTTGATGTTAAGAAACAATGTAAAGGAAGGTTAAAAAATCAGCAAAAAGTAGTACATTTACTGTGCTGCAGTACTAATTTCTAAAAGATTTAATTTCCTACACATTAGGCATAAATATTGAGAACCCCCATGAAATAATATAATGACCTGTAGTTCATTCAGCTGATTTACATTTACCTGAGTTTTGGGACCTACAGTAGATGTTCCACTGGTTCCTCTGGTTTTCTGGATTGAGATTTGATTGTTCTGGCTAGGGTAGGAAATGGGATTCTGCCTCATGGCCTTCAAATCAGACATGCACTTAGTCTGTTCATTTGACCAGTGATTCCTAATATCTCAGTCAGTAAGATCATGATTTTATGGGAATATGAATATTAATAACCTCTGTTGTTTTCAAGAGTCATGGAAATGTTAATCAGCTCGGACCATTTCACAACACTGAGAAACAGAGCCATCTAAATGAACTTCCAATTCTGTTTGCAATTGGGATTTCTGCCTCACATCAGTTTTTTGCCCCAGGGTTCTGTTCTCCTCACGTTTCTGATTGGTTTCTCCAGGTGTTCTTCCCACATTTCAAAGACATGCTGGCTAGGTGAATTAATCTCTGAATTGTTGCTGTATGTGTTTGTGTGCCCTGCAATGGCCTGGAGTCCAGGGTGTAGACCAACCCTGTGCCCTCTGTGTCTGGAACAGCCTCTAGGTTATATTGACCAGGAAGGACAGTGGTTCCGGGTTGTATAATTTCTTTTGGGATTGGGCTGTAGTACTTACAGCACCATTTATCTTTCAAGAAGTGCCATTGCTTCCTTCTAAACTTTTTCAGGAATACAGCAGTGTATTATTATATTGTAACACTTTTAGGGCTTTGATTAGTAGTTTCTGATTGGGTTTATGGAAATATACACCCTGCTATGTTGTTGATATAATAAGCAATCTATATATGAACATTATGTTCCAATAAAATAAGACATTTAGTCTGTGTTATTTTGGTTGTCTCAGGTGAGGACCCACTGACAGATGATCAAAATGAACATGACATAAACTCAGTGGCTGGAGTCCTGAAGCTTTATTTCAGGGGACTGGAAAATCCACTGTTTCCTAAGGAGAGGTTCCTGGACTTGATGTCAACAATCAGTAAGTATCCTTCATCTCAAAAAGGAAATCTTAAATGAATTGCTACATTTTCTTATAAGGCCTTAATTGACAATTACTATAAGATTTCTTATAGTCCTCTTATAGTCGTCAACATTTTTTTTCCTCTAAAATGCCCGTCTTGCATTTTCTATACTATATTATCCAGAAAACTGAATATGACTAACATCTGATGATAATGGTTATTTATTTATGTATTTATTATTATTTCTAGGTTTCCTTGCATTTTCATGTCTCTTGTTATAACACTAAGCCTTAATTTCACTTTTCTTTTTTTCCCCAGAAGGTTGAAGAATTGCCACAGTACTTTGTCTCTGTCCGTAACCTTGTGCGCTTAAGGGGTTTTATTTATGATGTTAACCTGTAGACACTAAGCAAAGACAGAACTTTTCAGGATGTCCTTATCACAGTGGAGTCACTAGAAAATCCAGATGCGGTGCAACCCGAAGCTCATGAATACATATTGGGAATCTGCTCCTTTACAAATGCTTCACAGAACCTGTGAAAACTATTTTGAGCCGAAGACCTTTACTCTTGATTTCATATAAGGAAAATTATGATGGAGATTGGGAGCACATCGGTTATTCTCATCTGATCCAGTGCAAGAAATCGTTTTATGGCCCAGCTAGCTCTATCACTTAATTAGCCGTTTGTTCTACAGAAAGGAAACCATGTGTCTGTAAATGATTTGCAGGAGTATTAGTCATGTTATTTTTCTTGACAAGTTTACATAAATCATTCATCTTTCACCCAGCGTCTTATGTGAATGCTGGCATTAGTTTACCCTAAAAGTGTGGTTGTGTTAAGATCATTATTTAACAGTTAAGAAGTAACTTGACTGAATGAAAGCTGCAATATTTTTATAAGACTTTTTGTGTAATATTAAATGAATCAATGGGTATTATTTTGTCTTCTAGAACTGGAATCTCCTGCTGAAAGAGTGCATCATATCCAACAGATTATTGTGACTCTTCCTCGGACTATCATCATTGTCATGAGATACCTTTTTGCATTTCTTAATCAGTAAGGTTGAAATTAATTTCATGTTCTGCAGCTCAAAAACAATTCATTTGTCACATACTAGATTCCCAGCTATGTCATCTTATTGCTGTCTGATGTGATTTTGTCTAGTTTTCTTTGGCTTCCAGGGGATACGATATGATGGTAAATGCAGAGAAAAATGTAACATAAAGATTTCAGGCCACTGCATTCCATCTGGCATTGCATTTTATCAATGCTTTTGAGCATCACGTTGAAGCCCCAGAATGATCTTATAAATGAGAAAAGATTACACACTTCATTCTTGATGAAAATGTTTTGTAGAATTATAAACCACAGGGAAGATCAAATTATAAATAACACTTTCTGCTAAGTACAAATACAATAACTTTCAAACTATAAAGAAAACAATTGCAGAGAAATGGGTGTTGTAATCCATGCAGAAAACATAGTAGACCTTCTCTTTTATATTCTATTTTCATTGACCTAGTGCTATCTGTGGTTGACTGCACAGCAAAACAAAATTATTTTATTTCCACCCTTATTCCTTACTTAAAGCTGTCAAAGATAGTGCATTTCCCTCCCTGTTTAGCTTTTTTCAAAGCTATCAATTACAGCCTTAGAAGACCTCCTTATTTTTATTACATTTTCATTGACTTGGTGCTGTTTGTACTTGTCTGCACAGCAAAAGATGATTTTATTTCCACATTTTGAGTCTTATTCCTTACTTAAAGCTGTCTAAAACTCAGTGCACATTCTTTCTTATCTGGCTATTTCATAAATTTGATTAAGAGCTCTTGTGAAAAAAGAAACTTACAGTTCTTCTACTCAGAATCTTTCTTATTTAGGATAGACGCTCAGTATAAATGGTGTTTACTTCACTGAGTGAAAGTGGAGCAACACTTTTCGGTTTTGAGTATGAGCCATAGTAGAAAAGTAGTGGCAAAAGAAAGATTGTCTGTTCCATAATATGCTCTTATTCTTGGTATGTATAATATACTACTTCCAGAGCTGTTACTGCTTCTCTTCCAGCTTATCACAATACAGTGATGAAAACATGATGGATCCCTATAACTTAGCCATTTGCTTTGGACCCACACTGATGCCCATCCCTGATGGTCAGGACCCAGTTGCTTGTCAGGCCCATGTCAACGAGGTCATCAAGACAATTATAATTCACCACGAGTCCATCTTTCCTGGCCATAGGGAGCTAGATGGGCCAGTGTATGAGAAGTGCATGACTGGAGGTGAAGAGTACTGGTAAGCTAAGTGAAATGTATTTAAACCCAAGAGTGAAATCAACATCCTAGTTTTTAGAAGATACGAATTATTTGCTTTCATGATCAGTGTACTTTATTGTTAGTTTCTAACAACTAAACGTCAAGATGAAGCAGTTTGCCTCCTTTCATTCCTAATTTTTGCTTATGCTCCTTACTTCTGGTAAAACCTGATGGTTTTATACCAGACATTCTGTTTATTCTGTGTTATGACATGGAATCGCTTCTCATTTATAAAAACTCTTGCTCAAAAACTATTTTAAGATGAATCTATGGAGCAATCAGTTTAGCAGAGGAAGCATTTTAATGGTCAACAGATCCTGTTCCTTGCGTGTGTGTCGTGGCACATAATACACGTGCTACCCATTGTACAGAATTCATCAACATGTCTCGAGGAGCAGTTACCTTTTGTTGATCACATACAGTATAGGACTTTGAAGCATCAAAAATGTGATTCTATCAAAATTAAACAGTTGAACAATTATGTAGGATTCATGGACTCCATTAATTAAAAACCTAGCGTACCATTTGTGTTGCTCTCTTCATTGCTGTTGTCTGAGCCTTTTCCATGGGTTTTCCCTGCAGTGACAGTCCTCACAGTGAGCCAGGAACTATTGATGAAGTGGACCATGACAATGGCACTGAGCCTCATACCAGTGATGACGGTGAGTTCCAGTGGACCTTGTAAAAGCAAATTCAGGTGACTGATATTACAAGGCTATTCAGTACTCTTGCAATTCCTGCATAAAAGTCTATATTTTTATATTTTTGTGTCTTCTTATAGAATGTTTCAAGGTTTTATTTCTAAAGGGTATTGATTTTATTTACATATTTGCTAATATAATATGATTCCAGTTTCTTGTTCATGGGAAAGGTCCTGCATTTCTGGTTTCTCTGCAGTCATTCTTAGATGTGTAATGAGCAGCTTACCATCAGCTCATTTAAGCATTTAAGGACAGTGCCTTCTGCTGTCCACTTAACCATATTGCACCTAATAAAACAAATTGCTTCTCTTAGTCACTGCACAACTACTAGAATAGTGACAAGAATCATACATGCGGAGGTTAAACCAAATCTTTGCCGAATTACTTTGAGAGTGAGTATTCGCTGTGGATTTTATGATAAATAAATGGTGTAATTTCATTTTTTAATCAAAATCCTGCTACTTCGTTTTCTTAACCCTCAATTATTAAAACGTCACTGAACCTATTTATCTCCCAGAATAAGTGGAAATAAGTTGGCAGTCCTAAGAATCTTCATTCTCAGGATTTGTGAAGAGTTTCAGTACTTTGTAACCTGATAATTATGGTGGATGGCATAGAAATTAAATGTCTGTTTTAATCAGTTGTGGTGTCTTCCTATAAAAATGTTAAAAAAAAACATAGAAAACCACAGTTTCCTGTGAAAAAAGAGGAATCAGCAAAGTAAGGGACTCCGCCAAATGCAATACCTCATTTTCTCTTGAATGTGACCCACATTCTGTAAAGGGCACAGCAAAGCTATTTTGGGAGGACAGTAACAAATCCTGCAATTGTGTCTGTTTAAAGCATAATTTAAAACACATGTGGATATGCCCATTAACTCACATTCAAATTCAATGGATAGTGATAGTATGTCATTTATTAAGTAGGCATTGTACTGTATGTTTAAAACAGGGAGTAGTAAGAAGAGAGAGTGCTTCTGTGCTAATCTTCAGTAATAGCTATAATACAGTTTACTGAAAAAATAGCAACAAAAGTGATTGTGAATAAAGTAAACTATTCCCTTCATTAGATATTGTGGTTTAAAAGTCATCTTAAATTCTGCAATGCAGTACCATACATGGTATCTGGCTTTCTGGTAATGGGTGGGTTGGGGTATGAATGGATTCACACTGAATTGACTACAGCAGAAGAAAATTAAGTAATGAACTATAATTTAATGGTATGATTACTCACTCAGATATATGAAGAGCAGTAGTGTATGAAATACACATTTTCTTTTACCCTCAAGAATTTAGAATTTTTAATGTAAAGACAAAATGTGATTAAATGTAGTTTAGCACTTCAAGATAACAAATAACCAAATCCCTGTTTGGAACAAAAGGCAGTGTTTGTACAGACTGTTGGCAGGATCTTCCTCGAATTTAGTCCCAAGTGTTCCACAGCTCTGTGTTGTTTTAGGTGAACAATACATTCCCCAGTCTGAGTTTCCTTTTTGTATTCATTTCATTTTCTTCTGAATGCTCTGACAGTGTTATTTGAATATTCACCACACTTGACTACAGCAACAAAAGCAATACTATTGAATTATGTAGAGTGTCTAAAAATGCCTGCAATACATGCAGAATACTTGGCTATAAATGCATAATGTATGTAGAAAGTGTGCAGTGTGTTTTGTTTCATATGTATTGAGATCTTTAGAAGTGGGCTAATGTCACAAGAATTTATGGGTCATATATGGGGTTTCATTTATCAGGCTCTTCATGACAAACGTTAATTGGTTCCACATTTTGAAACTGGAGAAACTAATATGGCTGAGCAGAGAGCAGACTCAGACCTCATTACATTGTTTAAATTGCACATTAACTCATTCAAGCTTCAATTTTTGTCATTATTTCAACCATAGTTTACTTGCTAATGTGACTTTTAAATGTTTCTAAATCAGGGTTATCATATAAACATTTTTAATTGTTTATGTGATATACACGTTTATGTGGTAGTTTTACTTTTACCTATACTGTATGTTGAACACTAGCCATTTAAAAGTTACAGTTTTTCCTTAATCATTGTAACATTTTATTATTATTTTTATATGGAGATACTATGGAACTGGTGAAACAGATATTCCTAGGTGAACTTGTTGTCTTTTTATACATGAGAATAGTTTCAAAAGAAGAAAATAAACAGAAGTGTTAAAACTAATTTATTAAAAAAAAAACAAGTTTTGTCACTCCCATCTTTTATAAGGTAGCTAGTGGTCAAATGTTTTCTGTAGACACTGAATATTAGATCTTAATACTTTATTTAAACATGACATTGCCTGTGTGTTACTAAATACTGATGCAGTTAGGTTAAGAGTAAAACGAGGCTGCATTTTGTTTCCTACTATTTAGGCAATTTCACCCCTCACCGGAGGCCTTAATAGAAATGATTGCGCTTTCCGGTTGACTAAAAGATACTCTGCAGAGAGCAGTTTTATTTTATACATCTGCTTACCCCCTTGACCCTTACAACTGATTAATTGAAAACATTGAAGCATGAATATTTCATTGACGGTGCAGGCCACATCACTGTCCTGTTTCAGAAAAAGGTAGCTGCTCTGAGAATATAGTGTTAGATGAGGAGTGTCCTGTGTGTATGGACATTGCTGTGTAGTTGCATCTACTAGTTTTCCAAATCTTTTCAGAGATTCATGGATGTGTGCTTGACCACAGAAAAAAAGAAATGAGCCCTGTAATTTTACTGAGATTTATTCTCAAGGATAATTGTAGAATGTTTAAAAGACTCAAAGGGAAATGTAGAAAATTTATACTTAAGGTGTTTTGTCTTATGCCTAGGTTTTGTGTATGCACCTCTGTGTTTGATGTTCTAGATAGATTTTCAACAAAAAAAAAACTTTTTCTCTGCATTTTGCTAGATCATAAGAAATTGGGATTTTTCTGATCACATTAACCACAATGTATTTTGATGTTCACACGCCCAAAATAAAATATTGATTTTGTGGGATGTGATAAGATATTTAGTTTGTAATTAAAGCAATAAAGTGCCTTTAGTTCACAATATCCAGTTGCCTTTCTCTGCTGGATGTAAGGGGAGTCCAGTATTTCCTGTATGTAGTTATGGGAACTGGAGCTTGAAATGGGATCGACATACAGCAGCTGTGTCGTCTGTTTTTCCATAGGGAGTCTAAGTAATCTGTAGCTTTCATTAATATTTCACAAAAAGATACAACTGGAGAAGAATGGATTGAAACACCATACCTTCAAGGACCAATTCACAGCATTATCCAAATAATGATGGGAGAAATTGAAAACTCCTCTGTTAATTAATCCTCCCATGAGCTGGGCACTGTATATTAATGTTGTTAATGATATTCAGTCCTCTACGTGTTTTTCTGTGATACTAGAATCGTCTGGGATGCTTTTCTTGCAACTGTTATAAAAAAAGCAATTAAACTGAAAGGGAACCCGGCTTCTCAGATCCTCTGCTGTTCCAAACCAACTTTACACTCAGAAAATATATAGACTGGAAACTCCATGTAAAAAACATTTTTTTAGAATTATCCTCTTCCAGCATCTTCAGGTTACCCTTCCTTTGTATTGTTTTCCTTTGTAGTATACATTACAAGTTTGAAGATTTTTTAAAAAAAATTATTTGGTATAAAATAAAAAAGTGACAGTTCTTTCAGATGCCATTTGAAAGGCAAATGTTGATCTTGGTAATTCTTTAGTTTTATGTCAAAGTAAAAACTAGGTATGTTGGACTGGAATTTTCCAATGACCATTTTTTGTTTGTGTTTCAAATGGGAAATAAAAGCAAACATATACCCGTATTTTTCTAACTTCTAACTTGTCCACCTTCTTTCCAGAAGTGGAACAGATTGAAGCAATTGCCAAGTTTGATTACATTGGCCGGTCGCCCCGGGAACTGTCCTTCAAAAAAGGTGCCTCCCTGTTGCTGTATCACAGGGCTTCAGAGGACTGGTGGGAAGGACGTCACAATGGAGTGGACGGTTTGATACCTCACCAGTACATTGTAGTACAAGACATGTAAGCTGGTGTTTATTGTCTGATGCGTTTAAGTTACTCAGCCTTTCTTCCTTAGTAAGGTGCATGTGCCAGGCTGGTGAACCTAAGGTTAAGATGAAAACTTAAAGCCGCTGGTACATTTTTTTAAAGGAAATGTATCATTTTTAATTATAGTTGTTGATGCGTAATTGACGGCTCAGAAAAGATTCTCTCTTTGCAGCTATAAAGGCATTTTTTTGCTTGCTCAGGCTAAATCTGCGGTATTAAAATCCCATCTATTTTGTCTAATTTAAGACCACTTTACATTTTTGGAATTGGTAGGTATTTATTTAAAATAATATTAAAGCTGACATTGATTTTATCTTTATCCACGCGTGTCTATGTATTTATAGGTATTTTTGTCTTAATTTGTTTTCCCATTGCTTTGTACAATGTCTGCAGTGTTATGTAAAAGAGAGCATAATTATACACTAAGTAAAATCTGTTTCAGCTTTGCTTAATTTGCACCATTTCATTAACATTGCAGTGATGCCGATGTGTTGCTGGTGATAATGTTATTAAAACAGGTTTATGTGTTCCTGCTAATTAGGGCGATGTGGAAACAAAATCACTGACATTTGACTGTGCAGATGACTACCTCATCATTATTCATGAGGAAATAAAACTAAAGAATTCTTGCATATATTTACATACTGAGAAGGCAATCAAATTTAACAGATCCTATTGGCTCCAGTCTTTGTCTGTTACATTTTTAATGCTTTTGAATTATCAATAAAATAATTGTAATGGTTCCAAGGACAAGGTCTTATAAACATCTTGAACATTTTGAAGGGTTTTAATTATGCCTTTACTTTTTTGATTAATGATTTGTAAGCTAAGCCAGCAGATAAAAATGTAGATGCAGATCCAACATGCTTTGGCACAAGACCATCATGACAAAATTTCAGACTCAATTTAATCTTTTGAAAATCTTATTATATCAGTTTTCTGCATAAAAAATAAAATAGGTGCTATGCAACACGAACAGCTTTATTTCAAGATAATTCATCATCTAATTTTACTGTGGTTTATCTGTAGTAGGAGCATTTACTTTACTTGGTAAAATAGTGGAGCAACTTTGCTGCTCATAAAACCCTTGTAATGTTTTGCAGCTTTCTCTGTGAATATAGAAATCAGATGTCAAATTAGCGTGTGATGGACATATTTTCTTGTATTAACTTTCCTTTAAAATGAATTGAGATGAATTGTCTGGGATGTGAGTGCTCCAACCTGACAATTGCTTGTCCCTCTCTAAAATGTGTATACAGGGATGATGCATTCTCTGACAGTCTCAGCCAAAAGGCAGACAGTGAAGCAAGCAGCGGGCCCCTTTTAGATGACAAGGCTTCGTCAAAGAATGACATCCAGTCTCCCTGCGAGCACTCTCCAGACTACAGCTTTGGTGGAGTAATGGGCAGGTGTGTACACATTACTTTGGTATAGAATGTGGTTCTTTTTTCCTTTGTTCTCATTGATGTCTGTCAGTGAGATTGAAGTATATATTTTGCGTCTTATCTCAGTTGACAAATGGTTAACTGAGATAAACCTAGAGATATTTTTTTCACATTTTATTTAGCTTTCTATTATCGTATTCTGTAATCTACGGCAAAGTGTTCAAGTATGAAAGGAATATTGATTTGTAAATTTACATTTTTAAATAATGTGTGGATTTTGAGATCTCTTTTTCTCATTGTGGAATTTTCTCTTTACTTTTTTAGTTCCCAATATTTTTTAGAAATGAAATATGCTAAATATTAAGCTTTAATTGAGAACAAATGCATGAAAAAACTTGAGCCTCTCTTTTAACCCTGTTACTGCCATTGTGTTATGCTTTACCTTAGCCGAGAGAGTCTGCACTCTGATCCTGGGCCATTTCTGGATCTTGGGTGAATCTGATTCTTAGCCAAAAATGTTCAAGCTGCTCACCATTGTGCAGCTTTGCACGTGATTAGGCTTGTTATTATAAGTCTTGTCATTATAAGGCTTAGTTTGCCTCAATAGACCTCAAGGATCCCTTTTTTATTCCAATTTGGCCTGCTCATTGGATGTACTGGTGTTTTGCTTACCAGTGCATCTCCTATAAATTGAATGTTACCATTTGGCTTTATATTAAACCACCAACCTTGTCAAAATGCATGGATGCAGTACTGTATTAGTGCATCCTTAACTCACTTTTCATCATAATATGTTTGTTATAGTTTTAAATGCCAGGGCCACATCCTCTCTAAATGAATTGGCTCCTATCCAGATGAATTGAAGAGACTGGCCTTCCTTATTGCCAGGCTGCTCAGTGTTGGTGGGGTCATTAAACACTCCAGCAGGGGTACTGCTTCATTCATGAAGAATGGCCACAGCTCCAGGATCTTGTGAGTGCCATGCAGAATTCTGCCTATGCAGAACTTCAAGACCTGTGCTACTGGCTGAATCCTCAGGGGAGACAACCTCAGCTGCCTAGATCCCAGACCTCGGCCTTTAAAACAGGACCTTTCTTTGTGATATGTAGTAAGTGCTCTTGTGCCAGCTTTTGTACACAAAACCATGCGTGGTGGTAGCATTACATGCTTGAAAGAAAACGTTTAGACTGTTCCTAGAATCCTGGTTCCCTGAAACAGAAACTTTACTAGCACACATCAAGGCCACTGCATTCCTGTGCAGCTTGATTTGGAAGCAGCCTCTGTGTCTTTCCATAGGGACCTCATTGGGCTTAATGGGAAATGTACAGTACATTAAGGACTCTCCAAGGAGCATTAATAAATAAGCCTTCCGCATTCGGGTAAAGGCAAGGGGCATAATCCATCATTCAAGGATCCAGATTTATGGGAATAACTTAGTGTTTCCACTTTGGTCTTTCCAGCTCAAAATACAGATTTAGTGTACTGTACCTGCTTGAGGTTCAGAAAGATCTGAGATCACCACTGTGAAATACCAGTGTGCCTTGTTCATTCATGTCCACAGGGTGCGTTTAAGATCTGATGGGGCTGCTATCCCTCGACGCAGAAGTGGTACTGATTCCCACAGCCCCCCCAGAGGGAGTGGTCCAGTCATTGATACTCCCCCTAGAGCTGCGGCCTGCCCAAGCAGCCCCCACAAGATATCGGTAAACAGGGGCCGTGTGGAGAGCCCTGAGAAAAGGAGGCTGGCCACATTCGGTAGCGTTGGCAGCATCAATTACCCTGACAGGAAGACCTTGCCCGATGGCCATCCCCTGAGGCCAGTGCCTACCTCCACGCGACACAGCAGCCTGGGAGACCACAAGTCACTGGAAGCAGAGGCCCTGGCAGAGGTAATGAGAGACATGTGTGTTCATTCAAGTAGACCAGGCCTGTTTATTTCAGTTAAGAACAAGGAATTACATCATTCACTTGACAGGATTTGCACACTCCTTCTTTTGTTTGACTCCAAAACTAATACTGCTGTTTCTAAAAAACAGTTACAGGTTGAAGTGACGTCATTATAAATAACAGACTTTAAAATTAATTGAGCTGCAAACATACTGTAGTAGTGATTTCATAGTGGCCATATTTTTAGCATTTAGTGAACTGAAATGTAGTAGTGGACAGAGCAAGCTGCTTAAAGTGAATTATAGCCCTTGATTTTTGTATAGCTTTTAAACATTAAAAATAGTTTAAAATTGTTGTGTAATGAAAGCAGTTTATTTTAAAGAATCTTTCTCTATGCTGATTTACATTTGGTAACTTAGTTTTCACTTGAAGATCACAGTTTCCCTCTTTTGAAGAGAAATGGTGCCTGTCAGTCAACTGTTTGAGTAGGGGGATTGGTGCAATGGGTAATGCCACTTTTTAAATAGAAATGTCAGAGTAAACTTGTAAAATTAATTTAATTTCTTACACTAAGTCAGCCAGTGCTCTTCTCCAAAACCAGTGAAACGGTGGCCCATAATGCCCAAACTTTGTTAGTGTCTGCAAACCCATTGAAATGTCAGGTGGAACTGTCCACTCTTCCAGTTGGCATTGACCCTTCTGGATGTCACCGCAGAACTTGCCACATGTCAGTAGATAAATTATTCCTTTGGAAAATGGGTTGGAAGAGTCTTCTCTTCCTTGATCCTTCCCAGCAGGTACAAGGTCAGTGCTGTAAGTTGAAACCAAAAGATGCAGTTGTTCTCTCTAGATTACATTCATTTATGTAATAAAGAGTAATTTTCAATTGTAAAATTAAGCTAACACTGGTAATTTCCTCTAAAACATGCAAACGGTGCTATAAATGGAATTCAGTGATTGAAGGTTTGACTGAAAGAATTTGACCTTGCTCTACTAAGTATAAATGGAAGTAAAAAGCTATTATTTCCCATTTATATCTTCCTCGGTCCTTGGATCTTTTCATTTACTTAGGTTTCTACTTTCTTCATTCTCATGGCCAAGCTGTTGTTTCCTCAGACCTGTACCAGATTGCTTCTTTCTCCCATTAAATGGTGCTTTAAGTTTTGTTCTAAACTTTCGAGATCTCTGTCTTTTCAGGACATTGAAAAGACCATGAGCACTGCACTGAATGAGCTTCGGGAGCTAGAAAGACAGAACACTGTTAAACAAGCTCCCGATGTTGTGCTGGACACCTTGGAGCCCATGAAGAACCCTCAGATGGGCTCTGTGAACTCGGAGCCCGCCAGCCCCCTGCACACCATCATGATCCGCGACCCTGACGCGGCCATGCGCCGCAGTACCAGCTCTACGACCGAGATGATGACCACCTTCAAGCCGGCGCTTTCCGCCAGGCTGGCTGGGGCTCAGCTTAGGCCACCTCCCATGAGGCCTGTCAGGCCCGTGGTCCAGCACCGCTCCAGCAGCAGCAGCAGTTCCGGCATGGGCAGCCCAGCCGTCACTCCCACGGAAAAGCTATTTCCCAATAATTCTTCAGATAAATCTGGCACAATGTAGCTGGAGAATAGCATCACACTGGTCACAGTAGGGTGAGGTGGCCGAGGGTAAATAAATGTCTGTTCAAGGCTGTGATTTATGTCAAGAAATGGTAGCTCAGAAGCTGAGCAAGTTGTATTTATTTTTGCTTTCTCTTGGACTCTAGGCACCTGAACTGAACCTTAATTATCAAAATAACCAGCTCTAAAGTCCAAGGTCTAACATTCATTTCAAACTAATAAACCAGATACAGCTCCAGTTGACAATTTTTGAATATTAACATGTAATGCAGTGTAATGACAACGGAGCACAAGTATGAAATACGTTACACATTTTAGTTGTAATTTTACCTCAGAAATGTACATTTTCTTTGGCTGGTCATTTTTCATGTACTGCAGATGAAGCAATACAAATGAGTCTGGCATTATTTCATGTTCTGCCCTGGTCAGTTAGATGATTGACCACATTATCTTGCTCAGTCAGCCTTTTTTGCAGAGATAAGAAGCATCCTTGGGATCTGACTTCCATCTCGGACTGGATTATGAAAACATGTTAAGGACTTTGTCTCAAAGGTTGAGCTTCACGCTTACCAGTATCAGCTTTTGAGTTGTACATAGAAACAAGAGGTACTCCTTTGGTTTGTGGCATAAGGGATAAACATTCAAGTGACAGAATAGCAAAACTGCATGAGTATAAAACATGCAGATATCATACAAACCAGAAGCCAAAATACAAAATATTAGTCAGAAACCTGTGGTAAGATATGTAGTTTAACTTGTATAATATTGATGAGTAGTTTAATTTTTGGAAGTGTTTACCTTGTACAGGCCAAGACTGAACAGGCAAGGAGATGAGAATGGCATTTTGTCATACAAAAAAAATAGTGTACATTTAAACAAATTGGGTCTGAGTTCATGTTTCTTTTTTTCTCTTTTTTAACTTTTGTTTCTGCATGGAGCATGAACCACACGACAAAGAAAACCTCATATTCTGCTATTTGGACAAATAACTGTATTTTGAATATATTATATTCTTGTTTTGATGCACTTAGAAATAATGCATAAAACAAAGATCAGTATTTTTAGATTTAAACATGGTATTTGCAAAACATACCTAAAACTTTCGCTGATAAAAGACCATTAATTTATACTAGTTATTTATATTATTTTTATTCAAGTTAAACTTAACATAGATTTAAGCATTAATATTATTAGTTATTACCTTACCGTGGCAATATTTGTAACTTCAAGTTCATTTATTTCATCAGTCAAGAAACAGGAATTACATTTTTCTAGTCTATCCACTATTGGAAACACTGTCCAGGTGAATTGTCATCCCTACAGTTGGTGAGAATTGGAAATCTCTGTAAAAGAGAAAAAAGACAAATTTCTAATGCAAGAAATTATAAATGGCAAATAAAGTGATCTTATCTTATCTTTTTTCATGGACTGCAACTGGTGGAAATTAAACTTTCAGTTTTACCTGCCGTATCTTTCACTAATCTTTCTTTTTGACCATTTCGGGTCACTTGCTAGATCCTTTTAAAGTTCTAAGATGCACCCAAAAAAAGCATTGCCTACCTTTTTGAACACTTTGCAATTGCTTTGGCAACAAAGTAAGGGAAAAAAAATTCACACTGAATATTTCAATTTTTTTAAAGGAAAGCAAAATTCAATGCATGTACTGATCGGGTGCCATAAAACGTGCAGATCTGGAATTAGAAGGGGAATTAATACACTGCTGTGCAAAAGTTTGAGACATTTTGCAATGTTCTGTTGTTTTAACTAGTCGTTTTTCCTTTTTTATGCAGAAAAACAGTGAAATGATGATTGAAAATTAAACATCAGTGCTACTGATGTTTTAGACAATCATTGTTTCAATTAAAATCCTGGGATAGACTGGTATTTTTTAGAACATAATAGTGTGTCAGTTAGATTACGTTGGTGATAGATCCCACTGCTATTGTACTTACTCTTTGGCTTATAATCCAGTGCATTATCTAACGTTTCAATAATAAGCTCTTTAAGTATTTATTTGAAAATTAGTAGGATCAATATAGTAATCAAGAGGTTTGTATTAAAGTACTGCAGTAGAGTGACCGGAGGGCTCACACATTCAGTAGTTTTGAATGAGCTACTGCAACACTTCTTATTGGCTGCTAATGTACAGTACAGTGATAAATGGCTATTGTTATATATTTGTTGTAATCGGGTATTTGAGATTCTGATTAATGTGAATAAAAGAATGCCAAAACTCAAGCTTCATCTCTTCTCAACCAAAACTGAGTTGCATTATTACCAAATTTAGTATACTGATAAACAACACTAGTGGAGTCTTTGAGAAAACTTTGAAGCTCCCAGTGTAGGTACACTGTATCCACAGATTGTATCTCAGATAAGGTAAGACATTTGCAAAGCAGTGTATAACATATGACAGAGTTGATTTGTGGCAGCTGTAACGCTGTGTGATAGGCCCATTGTAAACACTTTGCTCTGCCGTAATTTGATTATAAAAGTCTGTTTTTACAAGTGTCTGGTTCAGTTATTGCTAGGGTTTCTGCCACAGAAATTAAGGGCTAAATCATAATAGGCTCAGAAACCTTTAGTATACAATTATGGTGGCCAACCCTAATGCTGGAGATCCACAATTCAGCAGGTCTTACACATTATCCTTACAAAGGACTTAAAAGACTTGAAACATATGAGTTGTTGTCAATTTAGTAAATTAGTTCAGTTAGGTCAGGAAAGGCCAGCTGTGGTCCTTATGAGTGACAGTTTTTTTATTTATTTTCATTTTAATGTTCTCTAAATGGCTTAATTGTATAAATCACTTGCTGAAGGAGTCGAAAGAAAAATTGTTCCCAGCCTTTACAAAGTGATTTAATAAAACCTGCTGGATTTTCACTCTCCAGGACCAGGGTTAGAGACCCCTGTATTCCTGCACACATTCGATTTACACAGTTGTTCATTTGACCTAGAACCAGTCTGTATTCTTATCAGGTTTAACATGAAGAACAGAAACAAATTAAGTTAGAGATTCCACATAGAGTATATCCCCAGAGCTTTACAATATTCACATCTCATTGTGTTTAATGCTTATTTAAGTGCCACGTTTTTTTATTATTTTGTGAATGTTTGGTGAAACAAGATGTTTTGCCATCTGATAAACAACTTCTTGCCTGTTCTAGTCAACTTTATTTATGTATTGCTTGTATTACTGCAAAATATGCTGGAAAGTACTGTTACACCTGTTTTCTTTAACTGTAGTAATAACCCAAAATCTAACCGATTCTAGTCAATGCCATTAATTTGCACTTAGTGATTAAAAGGCTTGATGTAATGATGAAACAATGCTTATGAATTTACATTCCAGTGTTATGCTTTCTTTACCAATCCTCCTCACTGCCTGTTTGCAAGGTGATGCAAACAAATTCCTCTCTGACATCAATTATTATATCTTTAACGTTCAGCGGGGGATATCGCATAGTTCTAATGGGAATCAGAATTATATCAGACATGTACAGTAGCTCGAAATGTCACTTTAGAAGAACTTACGTCATTAAGAAGTTTTCACACTTGTTTGAAAGTGTCTTTCCTTCTTCACGCCACCATCTTACAGCATTATGGGTGCTCATTAATTAGTATGTGATGGTGCTTCAGTTCTTGAGCAAGTGAATATGTTATTGATGTAACAATGGACGCAGACTGTTTGTGGTGCCTTTCTGTTTTAACACGCACAAAGTACCTTAACCTTGCTTTTGAGAAGCTGTGCAAACAGAATCCATTGAGAGCTCACTGTCAGAACTGACAACATTGCTGTCCCAAATTTAAATGAATTTTTAAAATTGCTCATTCAGCAGTAGTTTATTTTCAGATTCTTTTAGAGGCCCATATTCTGTCCTTCAGCATTACATTATGATGACTGGAAAAAAGCTGGGATTAAAACTGGAGTTCATCATCCGAAAGTTGCTGTTCAGGTATTGCTCAATTCAATTCATGTGCTTTTCCACCTTTGGCAGACCTATTTTTAAATCTTTTTTTACCTTAACATAGCCTACATATACTGTATTTGCTAATAGCTAAGAGGATGGTGCTATAATGCCTACTATGATCACTGAGCAATACAGTTATATACTTTTTCATTTAACATCTTAAAAGTACAAATGAAAAGAATGCAAACTTTCAAATTTAAAATTTCTTCCAGATGAATAGTAAATTGACATTAAATCAAGATATATAGCAGAAATGTTTCACATTTGCATTTTGAGTACTGTTAAAACAAGTTTGTATGGTTTTACATGGCTGTCAGGATCTTTGTATTATTATTATTATTACTAATTTTGATGCAGGTACAGTAGGAGTCTAGATTCCTTGAAGCCACTATTTTCTATTGACATACAATATTAAAAGTTATGTGTATTTTACCTTTGTTTGTGAGAGGATTACTGTTTGATTAAATCACAGAATTGAACTGTAGACCCACTGTCAATGAACATCTACAGTGGGTTATTGGTAGAAATCTGCATGTGAGCTTTGTGCTGCAGAGCTGTTAGTTTTTTTTTGTGAAAAGATTAAGATAGGCTCTAGATTTCCCACACAAAGTCTCAGTATGTCCCAGTAATCCTCCAGTGATCTGACATCTCTAGAATGATTTTTTCATGTGAAATTTGAATTAGACAAATAGAGTTGAAAAAATGTGTTGAAATTTAAAATCTTACAGCACCATGCAAATTGGTACAACACAACAAAATAAAGCACAACATTGATCTTTCCCAGATAATGAGCAGCAAAACTGTCTTGTACATCTCTTGAAACTACCAGATATGCATTTTTAAAATAAGAATATATAAGTGTTTCATATGGGACAAGCAAATATGAAATATGTATATTAAACAACATACTGTATGGTATACTTCTGAATGTTCCTCACCATAGAGTTAGAGAAAATAAAATGTGTAGTTGATGCCTTCCCCTATATGTATAAGAACTTTAATCAGACATTGTGATATAATCCTAAAATGTTCTTGTTCCTCATGACTATTAAAGAATTGTGGTAAATCTATTGTGTGATGCAATTAGAAGGCAGTTTTGAAGGAGTATTACTAAGAAGTGTAAGCTTAGGTATATTGAGGGCGACCATTTGAAGCCTTGATTTGGGATTGGGGAGAATAGAGCATATCTTAAAAAAGATCTTATTCTGTATTTTACGATTTCTGGGTTGATGTTTTGATTGTAGCTTTCAGTGAGTTGCTAAGTAGATCATAGTGACTGTCTAATGGCAAATATAAATATTACAGCTCTCTAGCTTTCTAGCACAAATAAAGAAATTAATTAGCAAAACCTTTAAGAGGAACAGTTTCTCATGGCTCATGTATGTGAGGGTTTCCTAAATGTGATTTTTTCACAAATTGTTAATATTTAAAGTGCCACCATAAACCAATAGAATTGTCTTATTTAATTTAATTTTAATATTTAGGTATGAAAGTTTTGGACAGTTAATCTAACCAAATCACAATCTTGAAGCCTATTTCCAGTCATTAAATGGGAAACAAAAGCTGTTTTCTTTCTTGTAGCTACAATCTAACAGCAAGCACGTTATGTAAAATAGTAATGCGTAAAACAAAAAGCACAGGATGTTTTGTTCTTGATATATAAAAACTTAACCTTATTATGCTGTATTATTAACATTCATTGTTACTGTAGTATTTTGCTAATTTATTGCCTTTTTAATTTTTTGAGAAGTATTTTTTTAAAGTGCATTTTGTGCACAAGATGAGTTTTTAACAAACGTAAAATAGCTTACTTTTTTAAAACTACAGTGTACATGATCAGTAATGTTTGAATGCTGTGGTCGCTGATGGATTTTCTTTGTCTTCCTCTGATTTGTTGTCTTGCTTCAGGATCTTTATAGAGTCTGCCATTATTCATGCATCAGCTGAAGGATAAGTCTTTCAATGCTCTCACTGTATGTAATGAACCATGTTGGTATGCATTCATTCTCTGCTTGCCAGTGCAAATGACTGAAGTCAGGAAGGAACATCTAATACAGAGCATAATGCAGAACTACTGCCCCACTTTAAAGATCTCTCCTATTCAAAAGATCATTGTTAACGTCATGGTATGCATAAATATCACATCAATGACAAATATGTGTCTTTTCAAACCTTTTGCTTTCTGGCATAACTGCCAGTCAACATTTTTTCTTGCCTTGAGATGTTTTACTCCTGTAAGGGGATAAACGCATATGAACATGTTTTAAAAACTTCTCTCTGGAGTTCTTGTTAAGTATATGTGGATATTAATTTGATCAGAAATAGGATTAGAAGAGGAGCGCCGCAGCTCTCATTATGTATAAAAGGCAAAGTTATAGGAAATATATTACGTTTTTTTTTTCAGTATTAAAGGTCTCTTGATACATGCTGTGTCCACCATTCAGAACAAATTGATTTCCCTTTTAAGACTTTTTTTCATCAAATGAGCTGCCTGCTTTTAAAATGGTAACCTAGTGTGACTTCTGCTTTCCACATTTACATACTACCAAGGTGATGCTTTGCAGTATTGTATGCACAGTGGGCTTGTTTTAAAAATGTCTTCTAGAACTGTAACAGGAAGTAGTGCACTTTTCTTCTCTTAATTATAAGTAACCTTTAGGGTGTGCGTTAATTTAAGGAATGTATAATAAATTAGGAGTATTGTATTTAAAGGGTATGAGAGAATACTTCTTGGCTACTGTTATAAGCTTCTCATCAGCTCTTGCCTGGCACAGCCAGATTTTTATATAGGAAAAAAAATAATTGGCTGACCTTCTATGATGTTGGATGTTACATTTAATTATATTCTTTCCTGTAATGTCTAATGAGATTCATTAATGAGTGTCTGAAACTTCTGTAATGTAATGTACACCAAGCCGTTGGTTGGATGTTGAGAATCCTAATGTCCAAATAAATATAGCTTAATTTTTTCCTGGAGTATTTTCTATAATTTATCCTTCATCCTGAGTCCTGCGAATTATCCATGTTGATTCTACATTTCTTACTATGGCTTCGTATTTATGTTCTTATAAACACAGTATACAGACTTAAGTCAGCCTGTAAAGATTAGATCTTCAAGTAGGTAGCTGCATCAGCATGCGTAGGCTGCAAAGGAACAAGTAAAGGTTTATTCCATGCTGAAAAGAAACATAATGTTTTGGCTGTGGAGCCTTCTTCAGGTGTGATTAGATTTTGCTGCTTAACATTAACCACATTTCAATATTCAACCATGGGGATCTATGTACAAAATTATGTTTTAGTAAGGGGTGTATATTATGTTAGGTAAAATTATACACTGCAGGTTTGTAAAAAAACAGCTTCTTTCAAACAGCAATAACTCTCTCATTTCTTCAGTAATGTACAGTATGTGTGTGGCTAGTAATAGGTACTACACACTCTTTACACTTCATAACACTTCTAATCTCAATCAAGTAGCTTCATCAAAAGACAGCAAAGGCATAATTTTTTAGTGTCAGACTATTACATTGTCTCTGTTGTTTGCAAGTTGCTGATAAGGATAGCTTGCTTATGCTCCAGAGAGGCCTGGCAGCTCCTCCTGTCTGAATCTGTTTTTCTTGGGGCATGCCCGCTATCTCTCAGGAAGATTAAAAGTAATCTCTGAAAGCAAAACATCACTCGTCTCACATGCTGCCAAACAGTTTGTCCCCAGTGCAGTTATTGTTTTCTACAATAGGAAAGGGAATAGTATACATTTCCTAGTGTCCTAATATCCTTCTTGTTAAATAGTCAAGAATATAAGTCAGTCAAATTAATAGGGGCTTGTATATACACTTAAATGCACGTTGAAGCCCAGACCATCACTAAATTCCTAGACAATCAGCAGTGGTTTTCTTTTCTATGCTAAACCTGCTCTTCAATGTGATGGCTTTCTTTGCGTAATTGTGTACTGTATGTCCTCACTGAAAATAGGCCAGGATAGCCCATGTACTTTACTCCTGCATACTTCTGTCTGTGATTAAATATGAGGTTAAACCTATTGTCTTGTTATCCATGCCCACATTATTGAATGCAATCACTGTCATTGCTTTAACAGAGTGAACCATGAGATTGGGCTCATGAAAGCAGACAAAATGACTCCTTGTGCTTTTGTAAAGCTCTGAATGAATATTTAAAAGGTTTATTGTTCCTTGCTTCCTAAAGGACATTTTCTAAATTTTTAATACAAAGAATGCTGTGTAGCAAATAAAACTGAGGTCTGCAATGTGTTATTTTAATTATGTATAAATGGCATGAGAAGCACGTTTACTTCCATGCTGCTTTCAAATAGAAGGTCAAGCTAAAGAGAAATACAGGCAAATTGCAGTGTTTTTAATATTTCACCTAAGACTCTATGACCTAGATCTATGATCAAAATAGTAATTCATTCTGCTTGTTTATAAAATATAGTACTCCAACTATGGCAGTGTGTTATTCATTTTTTTTATTTTAATCAGTTTGAATTAAATGTTCAGTTCTCTAAGCAAATATATATTTTTTTAATTTTGAGAGATGTTCTATTTTTAAGTAGCAGTGCCAGAAGGCGGCAGCATTTTTTTATTCATACTGAGAGATGGGTAGGCAGGAGTTCCCAGGATTTTTTATCTTTTCTTGCTGGAGAACACTGTTTTAAAGAATTTTCAGTAAGGATGTCCACATAAAGTAGCCATATTACAGACTGGAAAAATTGTAAACAATATCACTATTATAGTGCTAATCGTAACAGAGTTGTATATCAACAGATTTTCCGTAAGTGTTGTTGGATGAAACACACTGTGAAATAGTTGACTATTCTACTACTAAACTGGGTTGAAGTTTCACGTTGTTTGTGGGGGCCCCCTCTGCAGTATGAGGACTCCCAGGAAGACCTTTGGTTGAAACCATTGACCTAAAGTAAGTGTTGTGGATAACTGCAAGTAATATTGATGAAGATGTTTCTTTGTTGTGCTGCAACTGTTTTTTTTTTTTTGTAGTAAGCAGATGTGTGATGTCACAAGTGAAAGAGTGCTTGTCAATGCTTGCAAACAAACAAAACTGTTGACGGTATATTCGGTTTGTGAGGTGTTTCAACATGGGTGGTACAAAAGAAGTCCCCAGAATATAAGTGCTTGAAGTATTTTCATACTAAAGAAGGGAAAGAGAAAAGGTCTTAAGTTTAAATGACAGTTATTTAACTAAGTTTTAAGAGTAATTGAATTGTTACACTCTCCTGGAGGGTATTGCTTCAAAGTTCACAATAAGAGAACACACAGATAAGAGGTCTCCATCAGAAATTAGCAAACTAATTAAATTGCCATCTAGCTATAATTACGGTATGTATTCTAGCATGAGATTTGATTAATTCAATGTTGCTGAATAAGACAGAGAATTAGATCCAAACGATTAAAACAAAAGGTTTGTTTAGAAAAACAAATGCAGTTCCATTTCAACCACAAGGTGGCAACCCTACCACATCAGTACAAACAAAAATTACTGACAATACAATGTACACGGAAATGGATTTTCATTTTGTGCACATGGAAATATTACATACTGTTGTTGTTCACTCCTACAATATGTTTTCCAGAGTGGGACATGCAGGTAATTACTGTATTACTGTATAATACAATTCCTTACACTTACTGTATATAATGCTTTTCTGGGTATTCCACTCAAAGCGCTTTACAGGTAATAGGGACTCCCCTCCACCACCACCAATGTGCAGCAACCACCTGAATTATGTGACGGCAGCCATAGTGCTCACAGTATACTCACCACACATCAGCTAACAGTGGGGAGTAACACCCCTACTCTTTTAGAGAGACACCCTGGGAATTTTAATGACCACAGAGAGTCAGGACCTCAGTTTTACGTCTCATCCTAAGGATAGTGTCTCTGTCACTATACTGGGGCATTAGGATCCAAACAGACCTCAAGATGAGTGCCCCCTACTGGTCCCGCTAACCACTTCCAGCAGCAACTTCAGTTTTTCACAGGAGGTCTCCCATCCAGGTACTGGTTAGGCTCACACCTGCGTAGCTTCAGTGGGTTGTCAGTTGTGAGTTGCAGGGTGATATGGCTGCTGGGTATGGGATACAGGATAGCACTGTGAGTCTGTTTAGCACAGCTGCCTCATAGCCCCTGGGTTAAATTCCTCTAACATGTTATCCAAGCAAATTGGTGGGTTGAAACTAGTGGAGAATAAAACCTGCATACAGCACTTCTTCACAGAGCTAGGTGCTGGGTCTAATAACGTGGTATCCTACAGAGAAGGTAAAAGGTCGTACTGGTAATGTTCTGTTTTTCGTGAAAGCCAAGCTTTCTAAATGTTCTAAACAAAATACATCACAGTATTTGTTTCTGCGATTCTTCCAGCAGTGTGAATACTGGTTTATGTATTTTTGCTAAGATGTGGTAAAATGTGATTACATAACTGCTAGGATGATGAGCCTCAAGGGTAAAGGCCAACCGATACAAAATGTGAATGCTTTCTCAAGGGGTTCTACAGTTCAAAGGTGGTTTTAACAAAACTAATATCCGCTTTGCTAGAGTAATTTATTTGTAAAAGACTTCATAAGACTTTGGCCCAGCTGGCTGTTTCTACCGTGAAAGGAAGCAAAGTGGGAAAATGTAATGAAAATGTGTGGCCCTGAAAAAAAGGGAAACGGGGAATCAAAAAGGAGCTAGATCTTGGTTTTGCATTGGTATAAAACTGTAACGATCAAGATCAATTAGTGGTTCATCTCCTGAACTTGAAATTCATGTTTATAGTTAGTGTGTGCACACAACTCATTGCATTACGTAATCCAATATAATATGCACCAATATTAATAATATTACATATTGTATGTATAAACCCACAGTAATTACTTGACAGGTTATCAATATCTTGCTCACTGATATACAGTATATGCTTTTCTGGACACTGATATTCAGAGAAAACAACAATCCCCCACATTATTACAGACTCTTATGTCTGGCAGAGAAATTATGTTGTGAGTTCCTCTCCTCCTTCAAAGTGTCAAGGTGCCAACAGCATCACTTTTGTTAACTGCAAAGAGTGTTCAATTTGCACCACTAAATCAAGGAGCATATGGAGATTGTCAGTTTCCATAAAAAGAAAATGTGTTATTGGGTTAAAAACCCAGCTGCCGATTTAAAGAGGCTATGATCAAAACAATTTGCCACTCTCTTAAGGACATGAGTGCCTTAGCAAGCCCACAGTGAACTGCAAAGAATACAGTTTGTTCCTTTTGATGATCTGAGTGGCCTTTCAGGCAAAGAAACAAATCCAGCAGCATCCATTCTAAAGTAATAAGAGTGACGGATGACCTCTTGTGAGCAATGGAGCTGAAAAAGGAGGCAGCTGATATTTCTTCAACCTGAAGCCAGAAAACACTTGAACATGATGAGATGAAAAGGGTCATTACTGCACTGATAGTCAACAACAGTGTGCCTGAAGTGTACTTGTGTTCGTGTGTGTAATAACTCAAGAAGAAAAGGATGGGATGATTGATGAGTTAAGAAACATTATTGCAATAAGCAAAACCCCTTTCATCAAGCAAATGGTTTTAGAGTAATCACCTCATCCTATACTGTACATACAGTACAGTAGGTTACTGGTAGAAAGATTAGTCATGTTGATATGATCATATTATGCTTAATATAAAAATAGATAATACAGAATGATCTAGATTGCCGTCTGAGCTTTTATAGTTCAGAATTTTGAAAATATTTTTAAACAAGGCTTTACAAGGGTGTACTTGGCCTAAACAACTCTGGCAGTGTTTAGAGAATCTCAGGTTTTATTAATAATCTCATAGCACCAAAGTGCAACTTTCCTAACCAATATGAAAAAATGTTATTTCAATCACAACAGAAATGTTTCTTCTGAGATACGGTATCTTGGAAAAGGACCTATTCTTACTGACTAATGGAAGTGAATATTTTATGC